CCAAGGATGTTGTGTATTCTGCAATCGCTGTTATCAGCACCATCCAGCCCTCTCCAACACTGAGAGTGTCTGTGTGAGTGTCTCCCCCTCATACAGAGACTCTGCTAATCTTGATTTCAGTGTGCTGCTCTCAGATTCAGAGGATGGTAGATTGGCCAACAGAGACATAGGGAAAAACTCTGTATCTGCCAGAGTCTTTTTTTGTTAAGCTTCATTAACAGTGAGATGTTCCACTTCTGCTTTGCCCAGAGGCATTTCGTTTCAGGGTGGCAGAGCAGAAGAGAAACACTTGAATCGTTCCTGGAATTATTTTTTTTTTTTAAGTGGTTGGATTTTGGTTTGTTTGTTTGCTTAGGCTCTTGTTTGTTGATCCTAAATTGCCATTTGAAAGTTGCTGTCCTTTTCTCCTTTCGCTGAATGCTTTTTGTTGCTCAGTGCCAATAAGAACTCTGAGTGTTTTGATTGTTTTATTGTCTTTATTGGAAGGGCTGAAGGTTGTCCTTCCATCTTGTCTGGTTCTAAACCAGAATGCATAGTGGGGTTACTGGGTTCTGTAGCCCAAAGCACCACTGGGATGGATCACCTTACACAGTCTGGATACCAAAGGGCATTTCACAGTGGTGAGCCATAGCATGCTGAGGCTGTGAGTAAAGTGAACATGGGGCTGCTTCTAAGGGTGAGTCACAGGCGCTGGGTACGGAGCTCTGCTCTGAACCACCCCCTGGAGAAAAAGAACTGTGGTAGCTGGTTCTGTTTAATGCAGACAGGTAACTGAATGTAGCTTCAGATCAGATTGCTAGCGTTATGCTTTTAACTTGAACAGTGCCCCACGTTTTTTAAAGTTACTCCTGAAAATGCTTGGTGGTCTTTGTTTTGTCCATATTAAAAAAAGCAAAATAGATCAGGGCTGTAATTGACCTGTAGTTCTAACACAGCTCTCTTGTGCAACTCATTTGGCTTAAACCTTGGTATCCTGTAGTTTCTGTCTCTGCTTGTTTTATTTTGTGTTATTATTTTCTGTGGCTATTTTTATGTGATGAGAGCTTGCAGCTATGTGCCTATTTTGGTTTGCTCATGAAGATTTTGTGTGAGATAAGTGGGCTTCATAGAACAATTAGGTGCTCTGGATTGTGAAGTGAGGTAGTTCAGAACAGGCTGAGGCTTTTTTGGTTTTGGTATTGTTTTGACCAAATATAAACAAGGATTAAAGTGTAACATGTAAGACAAAACACTGCTGAGTGTAGAACAGTTCGTTATCAATTAAAATATTTCATCTTGATATTACTGCATAAATAACAGCCACCTCTAAGAGGTTCTCTCCTGTTGAAGTGATGAAAGGCATAGGATGATGCTTCTGTGTGCTTCTATTGCTTTGCAATATCTAGGAGATAGTTTTTTCAGATTCAGGCTTGCAATTGGATTTTACATTTGGGCTGAGCTGTGCAGCGTGTGGAAGTTGGAGGTTGCTGGGATGTTACCACATGTGCACTGCAACAAGCTTTTCCTGCTCTGTGTTAATTCCTGACCTTGAGCTGTCGTGGCTTAATTACTGCGAGTGAAAGTTCTTGAAGAATTTTCTGCCTGTTGCTGCTGAAATGGAGGACTGGGATGGAGAAAAAATACATTGCTTTATTTTTCTCAGTATTTTGTTTACTGAAAGGTGTTTGTTTACTGTATTCTCTGATGGTTAATCCTTGTCGTATCTCAGACTGGGTAAAATACTGACTTTCACCATTGCTGAGTGGATGCTATGGGAACTAACTGAGCCTGACAACCACTTGTCCAGTCCTTGGTGCTATCGAGAGCATGAAATGCATGAGACAGCTTTGATGTGGTTGAAGATGTGATGCGAAAGCTGTTAAACCCCTGCCTGTTTGTTTTTGTGTGTACAGCTGTCCGAAACGTCTGCTCACACTTTCAGCAGTGCTCCTGGTGCCTCCTCAGCACCTTCTTCCAGTGTAGATCTATTGCAGAGAGGAAGATGGCCAGGCAGTGGTTGCCTCATGTCACTCAGCCCACTGCAGGTTCTGTAACCTAATGCACACCAGGAGCACTCGGCTCTACACGAAATGGTTTCTGTGTCTGCCCTGGCAGAGCTTGCAGGCAGCCTATGAGGTGGGTCTTGGAGCTGTCATTTTGGAGAGGATTGCAGGGCCAGCAGCTTAGCCAAATCACTTGTGTGGCATCTGACATTGCTTCTGAAAGATTTTTAGTGGGGGGAGAGGGGTTGTTTAGTTTGTTTCCGAGTGCCCTCCATCCCCAGCGTATAACTGCGTTTGGTTTCAGTTAGATGCAATGCACAATTTTGGGGCAATGATTTCTTGTACGTTTTCCCACTTTCTTTCCTACTGGTACAACTTTTTGTTGTACATTTGTAAGTATTTCTGTGGATATAAGGAATTATGGAGATTACTGTAGAGCTGTAGGAATTTTTACTGTATTGCAGTAGATCTTGATTGCTACCAAACAAATTTGATGATTCTTGAATTATTTTGCGGGATTGCTAAGGATTTTCTTCAACACACACTGACAATTAACATTAGAAGTGTATCTGTGTAATGTGGGTTTGATGAAAGGACTCAGACAGTCCATTACTTTGCAAAATGCCTGTTCATTCAGAAGTTGCAGGCTATCCCAGGCTCTGCTTTCTGCCGGGTCCCCGGCACGCTCAGTACAAGTGCCGTCACTGCGGTCCCAGGGCAGGTGCCCAAGGGCTTTGTGCTTTGGGCTCAGTTCATGGTTGGCAGAGACCAACGAGGGAGGCCCCAGTGCTGATGTCCAGGCAGTATGAGAAAAGGTGTGTTCTCACCAGAGCCCAGGTTGTGTTCACTGCTTGAAGCCATTGCTTCAGTCCTTATGATTTTTATTCTGTTTCCAGAGACTGTGCTTGCATTCGTCTTGATGTGGTTGGGGTTCCGCTAGCTGTTATGGCCTTGGGCAGTTTTATTATATAGTCATTAGCCTTTGAAAAACTTTCTTCTTGTACTTTGAAGGTGGAACGTGTACTGGTATCTGAAAGGTTGACTGGATGTGAGCAGCATTTAGACCAGTCTTTTGTAACCTCTGTTGTGCTTATCTGAACACTGAGAAATGTTGGGTTAATTTTTTACTGTCAAGCTTACTTGATTGTCTTTCTTTTCAAATGCACTTTTTAGTCAACAAATATAACAACGCTTCTATGTGACATGTGGTTCCAATTTATAAACATAGTAAAATGGGGAGATGATGTGATGTAGGGAAGAAATAAGGTCACATTTTTTTCTTTGTTAGTTTGTTTAATCAGGCCTGATATTAGAAAGCTGTTGCTGTGCACTTTACCTGTGATTCCTATATTGTTTGGGAGCCTTCTCTGTGATTTGCCAAGCTCTATGGAAAGACTTGTTATAGCTTGGGTAAATTCATGTGGTATTTGCATCACTGGCACATATGCAAATTCAAAACCCCATTCTTTGCTCTGTTGGTAATGATAAGCTTCCCAAGAAACGTTCTTCATCAGTTTTGGGCAGCATGTCAGGCTCCCATGGTCTGATTTGTCTGCAGCTGGCTGGTTATCCAGAGACCTCCAGAATGTTGGAGTACCTGGATTTTAGTTAAAATAACCTGCTTCTACTCCAGGCTTGGGGCTGCACATATGCACCTTGCCACCCCTCTGAGGCACTGCATATTGTGGAAGATGGCTTGCTTGGAAGGCAATTCTGGAAGTAACACTATTCATCTTGTATTTATAGTGTGCAGCACTTCATACTCCCTCCCAAGTCCCTACCTTTTGGCTTCTGTCTGACTTTTCTGGTTCTGTAAACAAAACCATTGACATGGAAATAAAACATCAATGCATGACTGGCACTTCTGCACTGATTGGAAGAGATGAGATGTACCCTGTTCCTGTGTCCTTGCAAATTCCAAGGCCTGCAAGGCCTTTATTTTTCTCTAGTCTCTGTGGCTGCTGTAGTTTCCTAGGCTTTAGACTAGGGAAGTTTTTGGATGAGTTCACACCTTTGTGCACCAAAAGCTTGCTCCCAAAAAGTTGTTTGTAAAGCTGTAATTTCATTTCTTTTTCATATATAAGCAGATAAGGCAGCAACTGCTTTGCTCTGAAACCACTGAAGAAAACTAAGTTGCTTCACGGTGCTCTTTGTGCTGATTCCTGGAGAGATTCTGCTCTCCATGGCTGGAGGAAGGGCAGCCCTTGTGCCTGATCCTTGTGCTGCGCTCAGTGCCTATGAGCAGGGTGTGCTGTGTTTGTGACAGAAGTAGTTACCTGCCTTGTGTTTTGTGGCTTGGCCTACAGGTGAAGAAAAGCTGATAGCACTGCTTTGTTTTCAGTGCAGGTTTAAATGTTTCTGTTTGCTCGTTTAATTTTGCTGAGGGAGCCTCATTTGCAATGTAGAACTAAAGGATGGCTGTAGAGGTCTTTTGTCCTGTGCACCTGCGGGGTGTTGGTAAGAGACCTACTGAAGCATTCTTCTGCTGTTTCAAGGTTGAAATATGCATAGGAAGATGGGATGACTTGTGTCATCGAGTCCAGTTCTCCACAATAGAACAACAGATGACATTATACTCTTAACAATAAAGCAAAATGAAAGCTTACAGCCATGAATAAATGAGAGAATACTGCTAAGAGCATGAGGGTTTGTGTTTCCCCTTTTGTTTTCTTTAATTGCAGAGGATGTGGGTTGATCTGATCCCAACTGAGTGTACAAAAAATGTGAAAATATTTGCAGGAGCTGACAAATTCTTTTACCTTTGACTGTGTAGGAACACTTTGTTGTGATTATACATTTCTACACTGTTGGAAACTGCACCCTCTACATTTTTTCCTTTTTCTCTTTGAGGATTTGGCATTATTTAATAATTAAACTGTGTGATGTGAATATGCTGTTGTATTTGAAAAGAGACAAAATGTGTGGTTAGATATTTCTGCACAAGCAGTTTATGGCACTAAACAGTGAATTGCTTGAACTCTCATTTTGTGAATTACATTGTTTGTTTTTCTTTCTTAGGTCGCGTTTGGGTCATCTTGTAGAACCTTCTGAGAAAACAGGATTAATAGTAAGAAAACAATGGTTAATAGAAATAACTTCAGGATACGGTTGGACTAAAGCAGGAACAGATTCTCCAAAGTAAGTATTACAGATTTTTTTTTTTTTGCTTGTAAAGTCAGTAGCCCAGTTAGCATTAAAAAAAGCCAGAAACTCCATATTCCTTTCAGTCAGTTGGTAATGGTCATTCCTTTGGACTCTGAAGCATCGACAACCTTTGTAGCAGTTGTAGCTTAGGAAAGCTTAGGATAGTCCTCACTTTTTTTTGGTCTCTGTGTTCTGGGAGTGGCTTTGAGCAGGACGTGGCGCACTGCAGGCATCATTACGTGGAACCTCATGTTGCTGGCAAATAGGAAAGCCCTGTCTGCATCTCCAGTGAAATCTGACATTTGATTTCTCTGTAGCTTTCTACTTCTGACCATCTGTATGTGGCTTTGATCCTTTATTTATCAGCATTTTAAATACAAAGTAATTATTGTTTCCTTTTGGACAGATTAAATTGTTCTGTGGGAGTAAACGTGCTCCATCTTTTGTGAAGCCGTATATTTTTCTTAATGAAACGAGCCACAAGAATGTTTACTAAGTTTGCAATGTTTACACTTCAAATGTGACAGGCAGCTGTGCTTAGAATGCGCCAAGTGTCAAATATCTCCCTTTCTGCTGTCACAAAGCAATGAGCTGCACTGTGAATCTGACCAGAGCTGTAACTGAAATGGCACAACAGGACGTTGTTAGTCTTCATCTGTTGCTCAGCCAGGCTGGTATCTCTGTGGCACTAGCAGGGGCTGGGACGGGGGATGATGGACTTTGCTGTTGGTGGCAATGTTGTCCCATTCTGCAGTTCCATCACCCATCAAGTCAGCAAAAGTCTTAAATTGTTGGATCTCAGGTGTGTGTTTTTCTTTACCATGCCTCCTTAACTTCTGGCTTTTGTGAGCTATAGGCTGAGACATCTGTGTCTCATTACTGGTATGAAGAAATTTAGCTACCTGGCTGTGAGCTGTGTGCTTTGCTACCACATTCCCAAACCTTTAGATACTGGTACAACGTTTTAATTTGTGTGCTTCAGTTGCTCGAGATGGGGAATGTAATAGTTTTTCCTGTACCTTCTTTGCATCAGCTGTGAGGTATCTATACGTTATCGCCGAGGTTAGAAATGGAGGGAAATCCGGATAATTTTCTGTCAGAAGCTGATGTTACTCACGCTGCGTGAATGTCGTTCTACAAAGGCGGCGGAGCGCACGTGGCCGCGCCGTTAGAGCGGTGCAGGCGGCGCGCACCTCCGCGCGCTACCGCGCACCCTGCCCCGCCCGCCGCGTCGCTGCAGCGCCTCCTGGTGGCGGCCGGCGTTCGCGACGTGCGGAATTCCGTCCTCGGGAACCGTCGGAATTGGCGCTGCCGAGAGAGCTTCAGCTTGGTGCTGAGACCAGCAGCGGGGCCGCGTGGCTCCCACAGGGCCCTTCCGGCCTACATTGTTCTGTGATTCTTGGGTAATCTTGGTTATTTTTGGTCCTTATGATGAGTGGCCAGGGCTGCTTTCAGCTGTACTAACATTACTCTCATGACAGAAATGTCGTTGTATGCAATTTTCAGGAGTGTTCTTTTCTATGATATGGCATTATATTTCACGTTGTCTTTATAAATAAATGTCATGCTAGCTACATGAAATACATCTGGCTGTTTGCTTTGGGCTTGTGTTGGTGCATTTCTTTCAGTGCTTGTTCAGCTTGAGCAGCCCTGTTCATATGGCACGTGACTGTGAACCTCCATAGGGCTGACACTGACACAGGTACTGCAAGAAAACACACGGTGGTGGAAAGCAGAAAGTCAGGCCAAATGGATCTTGAGAGAAATGTACGCCTTCAGGGAGATTGTCTGGAGCTATGCATCTGCTCCACCCCCTTGCAGGGCATTTTTCTGACTTTCAGAATGCATGACATCTCTGTGTTTGAACCCTAAGCATAGCCCGTGGTGTGATAAAGCTGTGTTTTGGCCCATGCTCTCTCGTTTTAGGAGAAAACTCCTCACTAATTAATTTTTCATTGTTTTTAATTATTTCAGTGTAACCCCTCTTTCTAGCTGCATACAGCTTGTCTGCTGGAGAATAACTCTCTTTCCTGGAGGTTTTGATTGAAAGATCAGAACTAATTGAAAAGTGAATCTTGTAGTCCCTGAGTGAAGAGGTATCTATATATAGGAAAATGTCAATTTCTGGTCCTTTTTATAGTAAGAAGTTACCTAGCTCATAATTCAGATATGCAGCATTTTAATAGCTGAAGGGAACGATTGGCTGCTGGTGAAATTTGGTGGAGTAGGTCCTTTATGCAATTTGAAATGAGATTAATAACTAACCATATACATATTTAGATGCCTTATAAATTAAATATTTGCATTTCCTTTCCTCCTTATTTACAGTGAATAAATAATAATTCTGAATGAGAGAACAGCCAAGAAAAAACTAGGGAGCAGAATTAGTATTTCCTACTTTTTCATTTGACTGTGAAGAATAATCTTGTACAACTCCTACATAGAAATAGAATGTGCGGGGAGAAGTGGAGAGGATACTTGTTGTAGAATAAATGGATAAAATCACGGATTTTAGTGCATCTTTTCAGATTCATTACAGATGCACCCTATTATCTTTTGAAATAAAAGCAGAGCCCCACACTTGTTCACGTTCAGGTATGCGATCTGAGGAATTGCTTTCTGACCTGCTGTGTTAAAATGACCTATCTCTTCTAGGTTCAGTTTCAGCTCTTTCTCCTCCTATCCCATCAATCTGCCCAGTACCACTTCCCACGTGCCAGCTCAGCTCACCTCTTTGCTAAGCTTGATTTTGTCTGCCAGATTCCTGGAACTAACTGCCCCTGAGGTCAGAGCATTTTGCATATCTCTGTGCATGAACTGACTGTGAGAAACAGCCCCATTCCTTTGGCATTTTGTGCTCACTGTGGATAATACACTGCCTGCGAGTTGCCTGAAGTCTGTCAGAAACACGAGACTGAAGTTCTGTTCATTTCTTTGGTTCATCATGAATAACTGTTGGCAGGAGCAGGAGCTCTCTTTACTTACCTGAGTGCAAAGTAATGGGGAGTCATTTCCTGCTGTCCTCATTCACACCTGTTCTGGGAAGTCTTCTGCATCTGCAGTAGCATTCAGTGATGTTGTTCTCCACCTGTACACTTGTTTTGCTGGAAAAAAATCTGAAGATAACAATTTCATTTACATGCCACTTTTGTAATTATATTTTAATTGAATCATAGAATAATTTCCTTGAGAAGTGGTAACCAGCTTGCTTAAAATTAAATTCAATTTTAATTTGAAACTGGTTAACATTTGATTTTCTCCCCATTTCTATGTCATGTTGAAGTCAATTGCTAATTTATTTTGTATTTAGAGGTATTAGGTTTAAAGCAGAAACTCCATTCACAGGGGTTTTAAAATTCTGACTTAGTTCCTAAAACTTAGTGCATACTGCCATGAGTAGAGCAGAGGAGTGCCAGTAAGTAAAGCTCCAGCAGGTGAACAGATGAAGTAATCGGGGGCTGTGGCAAAAGGCCCTAATAATTCTTTTTCTTTGTGGAAAGTTATCTGTATTTCATGAGGAGAGTGAGAGAATCTAAGCTTGGGTAGCTGAGAATCTGCCCTTGGTGCCACTCTGAGCACCGCAAGGGAATGGCATTTAAAGAAGGCCCTTTGTGCTTTTGATAGATATTTTTAGAGAATCAAATGGTGGTATTTTTATTCCGATTTCTGGAGGAATCCTGACTTAATGGGCACTTAATTTTCCACTCCATAGGGCCAACTTATGTTGCAGTTGAAGTAAACCACTGGGAAATATTTATAGTAACACGTGATCTTTAAAAATAACTCTGCAGGATGACAGTAGATATCCTGAATTCTTCAAATCTTTGTGATCGTAGATAATAACTATGACATTCCTGGGGTGGAAAATCTTAACTTTGCTAATTTAGGCAATTGCATTTGTAATGAAGTTGTTTGCATTTCTTTTTTAAATTTGTAAGCTGTTTGGACTGAAGTGTTCCTATTCAGTTCCACATGGCCTGGGTAGTGTGAAATAACATATGGAATAAGAAGTCACACAGGAAAAAAAATTAAAGTTTATTACTTAGTCTGAAGAAGCTGTGGATGCTCATCCCTGAAGGTGCTCAAGGCAGGCTGGATGGGGCCCTGAGCATCCCTGCCTGCAGCAGGGGCTGGAACTGGATGTGCATTCGGGTCCCTTCCAACCCAAGCAGTCCTGTGAGTCTGTGATGACTCTGTGATGACTCGAGCTGTGGGCCCATCGGATCCGATGGCAGCAGCTGTGAAAAGGTGGCTATCTCAGTAGAAGAGGATTTCAGTTCTTCAGTGCCACCAACACGCATACTGAGCTGCTGTGTACTGGGCTTCGGAAGAAACTTGAATTCCTTCAGATATACAGGGGGAGTTTTGCCTTTATTTGTTTATTTTAAATCACCTCCAAAGTTTCATAGGACATAAACCCTCCTAATATTCTTATTCCTTTCCCCAGTGGTGCTAGATTCTTTTCCCTTATTTGCTCTGAAATGTTTCCTTCAATGTGTGCTCATCTTTTTATAGTAATCTATGTTTACCTAGTTAGAAAAATGCTTACAAAGATTGTAATCACGTTGTGTGAGCGCTCAGTGTTTCCTCTGCTTAGACTATGTCATATGCTGCTTCTGCTGCCTAGAAAATTACTGTGGTCAGGTTGTTTTCTGGTCTGTTTGGGACAGTCAGAATCTGTTCAAACGCTGTTTTTGTGTGTCTGGATTGGGTGGCCCTTTTTCAGCTGCTTTCACTGCCACAAGGCTTTTTTTAAAGCCCTTTGGCTGCCATGTGATAGAGGGGCAGTAGATAAAAGGGCATATTGACCTCAGCGATGGTCAGCTTGCAGTGTGGTTCCTAACAGTCGTAATAGCTGTGAAAGCTGGCTGAGCACAGTGCTCTCAGCTTTTACGTAATCAAAACAAGCAACTTTCTGCCATTTGTCTCGTGCTCCTGTAAGTATTCAGTAGTGAAAACAAAAATAAATCAAGTTTTGTGTTCAAGAGTTTATTTTGTAACCTAACTGCTTTTAACCTGAGGAGCTGTAGGTATTGGTGCCCTTAAAATATGCTCTTGTTTGGAATAGCAAGCCAAGTGATGAGTAGATGAAACTTATTTCATAGGGAAACCAACCTGTGGCACACAAGTGGCTTCTGGCCCTGCGCTTCCCTTGGCTCGGTGCTGAGGGCAGCCCCAGGGCTGAGTGCTGGGGGGCAGTGCTGAAGGTGTTGCAATGTATCTCCAGTGCTGACATGTGGGTGTTTGTATTCCGCTTCCTTGCAGCTTCTGTTGTTCTTTTTCATTACAGGCCAGGACAACAGATCCAATGTTGCACCTGATCTTACTTTGCTGTTCATTTAGTTTGGAATAGAGAAATGAGCCTTAAAAATAAATGTTAGGGGATTTGTAGCGAGATGGCAAGTGTGAGGGAAGTTTCTAATTAACGTTGTTCTATGATATTTCATAACTTGGCCTTTTTTGTTATGTTGGATTTAGAAGAACTTACCTGACGCAGATTAATGTTGATTGTTTCTTATGAACCACGTGAATATGTGGGCAATTCTTTTGCTGAAATGACAAATTGCTTTAAAATGAAATAAAACTAGCTTTTTATCCAGCAGATGAAACAAAACCCTGCAGTTTCCTCTAGCCCTCTATCACTGATTCTTTTTCTTTTCCATATCTGTAAGCCAAGACAGATTATTTTTCCAGAAGACAACTAACCAACATTGATGTTAACACACCAGTTGTGCTGGATGAATCCCAAGACCTTTTAAATGCATCTCAGAGAAAATACTATTTCACAGTTGAGGAAAAAGAAAGTATGGAGAAATTCCATGAGATGACAATGGAAAAAAGAGAAAATATAAAGACATGTGAAGCAAACTTTTAATTTTAGCCTGTCTTTCTGGACTGGAGACAATTTGAAATCTCTTCAATTAAATGAAGAGCTATAATTTTCCTGCATAATGTTAAGATTCTGTTCTCTACTGTGTTTGCTGAAATTCTGTATGAATTGCCATTAAATGTGTAGGTTGAATTTGAGGTTCAGCACTCATTCAGGTCCTGCCCACTCTTGTCTAGCGAAAACATGCAAGGGTGAACGCATCCCAGGATGGAGGTACACAGCCTCTCCAGACTGCCTGCTTTAGCTTTTGATGACCTCATTTAAAAACAAACAAACAAAACAGCAATGGCATTCTAAAAATTCTGTGTGCACATTTTACAAATTCACTGCAATGTTAGTCCGTATCTGGTCTTCTACGGGGCCTTGTGACAGGTTTGCTCTCTGAGCTTGCTAGAACTCTTGTTTAGCTCTTAATTTCAGGACAGCCCTATGAAATCTCTACCCCCTTCCCAAATTCACTCTGTCCTTCACATCTTCTCAATACTCAATCTTTGTGTCAGATATTTGCACCTTCTGTTTTAATCCCTCAGCATGAGCGAGGTAGCTGGTTGACACAGGTCAGATGAGCTTGCCATCTCTGACAGCAATGGTGTGGTGTCTTAGCAGCTCAGTGCCTTCTTGTTTCAGTCTCCAGGGAATTGAGTTTGCTGCCCCTGATCGCACCTACCTTCTCCAATCGTATGATCTATTGGTCTAAATGATGACTTTCAATACATGAGGATATTCTGAACGTATGGGTTTTGTTCCTTGATATTATGAAATGTTCAGCAGTTCTGCTGATTCCTGTCTTGCTGACAGTTGTCCACATTTTATTTACAAAGATTGTGTGCCCAGGCATTCAGCCCTACAGTGCCACTTTTTGCTCAGGGAACAAAGCAAGTGGCTGGCAACTCACAGATATACTGTGCATGCCTTGCTTTTGACCATCACCTTTCCTGCAGCCCTCTTAGGGATTAGTGAAGCAGCAGCCTGCTGGTGCTCACTTCTCCAGCCACGAGATGATGAGACGTGCTTCTGCTGGGGGACGTGTGGGTGCAGCTACAAAGTCTCCAAGAGCTGTTGGCTTCTGGAATAAGACTCGGCACTAGAGCCATCTCTTCTGTCTGCCTGGATGTGGTAAGTCATCTGGAAACAGAAACCACAGTAAGACGAGAACAACGGCAACAAACGCTGTGCCTGTGAATGCACAGCTGTTCTGGTTAGCTCTTAGAGCCTGTGGTCTGTCGGCCTTGAACTGTCTAGTTATCTTGTGATCGAGGTCACAGTACAGAGAAAAGACAAATTTTGTAACTTTCACATTGATTTCACAGAAGAAATTCTCACGCTCTGTGGGAGTCCTTATTTGAGCTGTTGAGAGGTATTTGTCTTGTGCAGGCATTTAATGTTCTAATTGCTTTTGGCTGGGAGTCCTTTCTCGCAGCTGAAGGCAGTAGGAGGTGTTGCTCCATGACACGTGGCTGTGCCAGGAGGTGGCCCTGCCCTGCACCCAGCTCTGCGTCACCACTGCCGCCTGTGGGAAGCAGCGTGCCAGCCTGCAGGCTTTGCTGGCTGGGAGCTTGAAAGAAAAATAGTACCTAAATCTCGGCTGGCTCAGCTCTCAGATCTTGCTAAGAGAGGGCAGTGTGATCTTCTGTCATTTATATCCGTTGATAAAACTGTGTCCTGAGGCCGTAGTTATCTGAACACATCTGTTGTATGGCACTGTACAGACTTGATCCTGCTGCTAAAAGCTGGTAGGGCAGTTCTTCCACTCAGTTTTAATGCTTGATGCATGCACCAGAGGCAAGGCTAATAGATGGGAGAACTGCGGGCAGTTGTCTTGGTTCACAAGTCTGATTGCAGGTCCTCTAGTTTTCTGCTCCATCTGTGTATAAAGATAGAACTTATGTGCAATTCTAAGCTCGGAGCAAACTTACAGTTTGTGTGGGAAGTCTTGTGTGCTGTCAGCGCTTCATATCTGTGACTTAAAGAAACAAACAAAAAAACACAAACAGAAACCACCAAAAACATTTGGTATTGAGGTTTGCCATATTAAGTTCAAGCAATCATTGATCAGATACTTGTTTGCAAGTTGGTGTAACAACTGCTCTTTCCCTCAGTGGAATTTTACAAGTTTCTTATGCCTGTGTTGAAAGTTGGTGACTGTAAGCAGATCCTGTGGAACCTCAGCCTTCGTGCTGTGTACATGAGAAGGTACTTATGGAATTTTTAAGTCTTGCTTCTTGGAGCCTGTTAAGCTTTCACTGGTACAATAACATGGTTTGAACAACTGTAAATATTGTGGAACAAACCTAGAATGGGATGGCAATAGATACAGTCTTATGCTGAATTTAAATAGAAATTACTGATGAAACTTATTGCACATTAATATCATTTCACCTCTATAGAGGTGATACCAGTTTCTTTCACCACAGTGACCACAGAATGCTACAGAAAGTAGACTGAGCACAGAAATACGTGCACACATGTATGAAAATGCTTCAGTTTTACATCATGCCAATGAATTTTCCTGTGACTGCAGTTTTCAGTTACAACAGAACTCTGGCAGAGTTACTGTGGGTAGAAGCAGCTGAATAATAACATCCCATTTAAAGACCCTCTTGTTACAGATACAGTAATTGATAATGAACTGTGCTCCAGGGTTCTGGGGGTGGATGCTCTACTGTTCTATTAGTGTTGTGTGTTGCATTGTGGGATGAAATTTTCTTTCTTTCCTTTAGACAGTTTAAGAGATATCTCACCATGGTAAGCTTTCCACAGCCACGCATGAGTGAAGGGTTGGATTTGTAATTAATCTGGTAATTAAGATCAGGTATTTTCATTCCTGACTTGTTTTCATTGCTTGATCCCCCACAAATCTTGTTTTGCTTCAATCCAGTCTGATGCAGTTCAGTGATTTGTTATTACTTTAATTTTTATTTTATTGGAAATCAGAACCTTATGATAATAAACTGTTATTTGATGCTGATGATGATAATAGGAACTTCCTAATTGTTGCTTCTATTGAGTAAAAATATTTGTACTTATGTATTTCTGCTTTCTGAAAGTTAGAGTTTTTTTTCCTGCTTGTTTTTAATGAAAACCCTGCTATCCTTTCATCCAGCACAAGCAGAATATGAAGAGAGCCGCAGTAACAAGATATGTTGGCAACAGTCATGCTCCTGTAAGCCTTCAAATTGCAGTAAGGCTGAGGGGGAAAGCTTTGAAATGGGCCTTATTACAAAGGTAGAGGTTTGGGTTCCCACTCGCTCCCCCTCTTTTGGTACTGGAGATTTTCATCACCTGAGATTTTCCAAATGTAAAATGAATCATTCCATATAATTCCTGAAATGGAAGAGATGGAAAGCAATGCTAAAGAATGAGGCAGAGATACAGACAGCGTACATTTCTGGAGTGGTGATTTAGGCTGTACTGGTTTAAAAATGATCAGTAGAAGTTACCACTTACTGATGGGTACAGAATATTAACAGGCAGTGAGAAGTTACACTGCAGGAGCTGGTTGTGCTGGTGGTGAATGGTGTTACTGCAGGCACGTTTGGCTTTGCCCTCAGCCTGCATGCTTGCTTGATTTATTTCACTGCAAGCTGTCCATATCAAGTAAAGCATTGCAGAGGCTTTCTAAGGTACTGCCTACGTATCCCTGCTGGCAGTGAGGGCCATGATGCATATGACAATGGATTATTTGGTCTAGAAGCCTACCAATAATAAAGAGTTTTGTGTTGAGTTGCATTTCTGTGAAATAAGCATATCTAAGAAAGTAAACTTAAGGAAACATTGGCTCCTTTTTATTGTAAAGCCTGTATTTATTTGCTGGTGTTGAGCCTTTTCCCAAACAGAGCAGTTCTGAATGAAAAAGGATAGGAATCTGGAGATGGAGGGGAATGAATCTTGGTCTAGCTTTGGCAGCCCTGCCTGCAGCAGGGAGCCGGGGCTCCGTGGTCCTTCAGGTCCCTTCCAACCCAGGCTGTTCTGTGGCTCCATGCAGCCCCTTGGTTATGACGTGGTCAGTGTCTCAGAGTTCTGTGGTGCATTCAACCGTGGTGTGCTGCTAAGATTTTGTGGTTGTTTGCTTTGAGGGGAAAAAAAAATAATGAGGTGGGATATGAAAGCTGTATTCATGACTGTGTAATGTGTCTGTTTGGGAGGTTTGATGCACAGCACGGTGATTATCTGTACTTCTCTGACATGACCAAGTGAAGCAATTATGCAGTGTTTTAAGGCATATGTACACATGCTTAGCACTTGAGAAAGGTTTATCATTTATTAATGGATTTTGCATGATGACTTAAAAGGAACAGCAAAGTGTTCAGCCGACTTCCTAGCCAGGTAGTTAGCAGCAGTGACTGGAGTTCATTATGTTGTTGTGCTAATTGCATTTTCTTGTTTCTTGAAGATGCTCTGTGATGCTGTGAACAGCAGCAGCCTGGGGTGTTGCTTACACCCTGCTGCTGTAGGAGAAGTACCTTCTGTTAAGCACGAGTGGGGAGGGGATGGAGATGAGAAGGAAGGATAAAAGCTGGGGGATGTGAAGGGAGAAGTGACGTTGCACACGATCTGGTGCATTTTGTTGCTGTTGGATTTTGGTTTTGTTCTGCTTGTTTTTTAAAAAGAAAGACACTTTCTCTCATCTGGTGTTGTCCAACAAGCTTTAGGTAGAGCATTAATCTGCTCTGTCCTTGGCAGTGATTCACAGCATTCTTTTACAGCACTTCCTATCCCTCTGTCAGCTGAGGAGCAGGGAAAGCTAAATACTTGAGTGAATAGTTTTTTGGGGATTGATTTGAGATTGATGGGAAAAAGCATCTTTATAGAGGAAATTGAAAATACAACGCTTGAAAGGTCAGAAGATCTAGTAGTGCAACTAAGGGTAATGAAAAACGACCTGAAGTCATCAAGAAGCCAGTGAAGTGCATTGCAGCAGATCATGCAAAAGCTTTTCTCCTGCCCTCAGTGGACGTAGTTTACACAGTGAGTTCAATTCAAAGGAGATCATTTGCTTTCACTTTTAAAGAAAGATGGAGATGAGTGTCTCTGAAGGGAAATGCCTCTTTCTAATAACATGTTGAAGAAGATTTTCCTTCTCTGAGTATAGACTTTAAAGTTGAATTAGGCACTCTTTCCACATTAGTGAACAACAGTCATAAATAGGCTAATTCAAAATTACAAAATGATGTATTTTCATATTAAATATTGCTATACTTTCTCCAAGAAGTTTGTAGTGTTTCATACAGATAGCTTTAGAAAAAATTCAAAATGAATTTCAGACTTTGTTTTAGCTAGCTTCTGATTAGTCATTTTTTATATATTTTTAAAATTGTGAACACTGCATGAGTGTTTTACCAGGCAAGTGCTCTTCCTATACTGAATGGAATTAATGAGTAGGACTATGTCTATGTGTTTGCAGTATTGGCATTTGAAACCCCAGACTTGGGAGCTGAACTGCACGAGCAGACTTAAGTAAACTTTCCAAAAGCTTCAAAATGTGTGTCTAATTATAGAAGGTTAAGTATACTGAATTTAATTTTTTTTTCCTAAGGCCATGTGGTTATGATATTGTTGAGATTCCATAATGCCTCCTGCCGTGACAGACAGCCTTGACATCTGGGCAGTGGATTCACAGATTGGTGCTGATGGCTCAATATCCGTGGACTTCCTACTGCCCACTGGAATCTACATCAACTTGGATGTCCCTCGAGATGCCACTATATCTCATATTAAACAGGTAATACCAAGTGGTCAATTAACTTACATTTCAAATGAGTTCTGGTTCTGATTTTCATGTGCCTTCTGGCAAATCAAGCAGTGAATCTGGGTAAGCATAAAAAAATTAATGAGAGATGCATTGATAGCATGGTGACTGGTAGAGATGTATGTGTCTGGGGGTTTTGAATGTTTTTGAGCAGACATTGAGGTATGGAGAAATAATTTCCCACTGATGGTTGCACTTCAGCAGAGATTTACGTGATTGCTCTGTGTTAATACTGAGTTGTTGTATCTAAACCTTTTGTTAATGTGTTATTCCTACCCTGTGCATTTATTGAAAGTTTTTCTGATTAGTGTGGAAACAGGAGATGCTGTGTCTGATTTGATTGTTAATACAGAAGTTGTATATTGTGTTCCTGCTCCTTTTGGTTGACACCAATGGTGTCCTTATAAGCCACTGCTTAAGTTAGTGGAGAAGTGCCTTGTTGGGACATTGCTTAAAAAGAGTGAGATCTGTGATTGATTTGCTGTGTGAGGGGTCTTTCTGAAAAATGGGTGTGAAAAATCCTTGTCTGTTTGTTCAGAGGAAACAATTTTCTTTACCAAAGAAGGGCTGTGACCCTTTTGTTTTCTTTCAAACGTTTTTAATTCTTTTGGGATGTGATACTGTGGATTTGATATTTCGAAAGACAGTGTTACAAACAGTTCATCCAGGGAATATCTTGTGTAATTCTAAAGGCATGGAATTAATAAAATCTGGTTTCTAAAATTCCAAGATTTTTTAAATTTAAATTTGAGCGGTGGATTCAATCTGTTCTTGTTTATGGAGTGCTTCAAATACTTGCCAGGGGGTAATAGCCATTAACAACAGAATCTTTTATGTTCTCTAAGCTTGTGTTCTTAATGCTGGTAGTATTGTACTTCCGTGCTGGTCTGCGTGTGATATAACATAGATCTGAAGCTATATAAATTCGGTGAGTTTGCTGTGCTGTTTTGACTGTGAAAATGTTTGAAATAAAATAGATAAACAAGGAGCTTATAAAACTGACTGTCAAGACTGAGGGAAAAATTTACTTGCATTCTTATCTGAGCGTGTCACAGCAGAGGGACGCAGGCTGCGTTAGTGCCTTATGACCTTTTTCCACTGACCCCTGATTTTATTTGATGAAAGACTTTCCCCGTTTTATCACAGCTACATTTTATAGAATTATTCACCTCTGTAGTTAAAAAAGAAAAGTGGTAATAGAATGTCTAAGCTATATACATCCCTGAGCTTAAGAGAATAAATGGCAGTGCTGGACACAGAGGTGAATCTTTGGAGGACCAGTGTGGTGCCTTCAGCCCATCTTCTGGGCAGTGCGAAGGACAGAATTTGGGTAGTAAAATTATTTGGAAGGGAAAGGAAAGACTTCCAACCTAACCCTTAATGAGTGCGTGTAGCTGTGGCTTTTTAGATCCAGAAGTCATTGCTCTGAAGTAATTTCTCATAGCTCTGAAACGTTCTTTTCCAGGTCAATGTTGACAATCCGGAGCTAGTGTTAAAAAAGTTCATCTGTCTTTGGCTGATTAGATGTCTTAACGATGTCTTGCTTTTTCACTCTGATTCCACTTAACTTTCTTTTGACAGAACATTCACGACCTCGTGTTTGCATTTGTCTTTCTTTCTTTGAAATGTGTTGTTCATGGAAAAATGATTTATTATTATTTTGTAAAGTAAAGCTGAGTTGCAAGTTGTTTGCTCTTCTTTCCTCTCACGTGTAATGTAGGCACATCATTCGTAGCCGTTCTTTCTTTGGTACAAATTTCGGTTGTAGGATTTTAAGCCTATTTTGATCCACACCATGCATGGATCTTTGCAGGTAGAAAGTTCAGTGTAATTCCTTGATTAATTACAGTATCACAGAATCATTTAATCATTAATTAATTCCTCAATAGGGCTTTTGCCCAACCAGGCCAATTAGCCTGGGGTCCATTTATTGGAAGGCAGCCTTGGTTGTATAAATCTCAGAAACATACACAGGTGTTTTCGGTCTGGCTGTAGTAGTTCAGTTCAACTTCTTGTTTGTGGAAAATGTGTTTTTCATGCAAGATTTTTGACACTGCATTATTGATCCTACAGTTCCTGTTTCAGATGAAGTTTAAGAAACAAGTGCATAAAATGTAAACTTTTAAAATTTAGACAAAGTTGTTCTCACCTTTACATATATATTTATATAAACACGGTTCTTTTTACCTACAATTTTGGTTTCTGCTAAGAATGGGACATAGCTTACCTTGGTGTTAGGTGAGGTATAATCTGCTGTGTAAACATCCAGTACGCTGAAGCTCTGTTGAGTGCTGCATGGGTGACTTGCACATTTTGGTGGCCTGCAAATAACTTACAAATAAGTTTACCTGGAGCTTCTACAGACAGCAGGGAATTTGACATGATTTGTGTTACCTCTGGGATGTTTGTACACGTTCATTGCTGATTGAAAACAACCACAAGGCAGATGCTAAAAACAAATCACTCTTACTGCTTTTTTCCCAGCTGTTATGGAAGCAGGCACACACCTACCCACTCTTCCATCTCCTCATGGAGATTGACTCCTACATGTTCTCATGTGTGAATCAGACGGCTGTACACGAAGAATTAGAAGATGAAACACGGAGACTTTGTGACGTCAGGCCCTTTCTTCCTGTCCTTAAACTAGTGACAAGGAATTGTGATCCAGGAGAAAAGTTGGACTCCAAAATAGGTGTCCTTATAGGCAAAGGTAATTACATTCCCTTTTCTCTGTATTTTTTTTGAAAACTTTGTTTTATGGAAGCGGGTCTTATTTGGGCAGGTAATGGGAAAAACTTACAATATTTTTCTTCTCCTTTTGTCTCTGACAGAATTTCTCTTCCTCAGTACTGATGACATTTAAAACAATTTTAAATACTAAAGATGAACATTTGTAAGTTGATAGATGCTACTGTCTGTGTTGTAGTTCAGCATATAATTACTGTGTTGTATAACTACATCAGGCAAGAGAAAAAGCCTTACCTCATTAGATAAGGGGATTAGATTGGGAAAATAAATCTATAATATTATTGCTAAGTGATGGAACACTTAATCCCTGAAAGTGTTACCACAGGTAGCCTAATAACAAATTGCACAGAGGAAACTAGGAGTTGTTGTTATGAGTTTGGTATACATGATTTCTGAGTTGGTTAACAGTATGGCTCTTGGCTTTGCTCTCCATTGTGACGCTGATTTTCAGCAAACAATGGGAAGCTATTTTTAAGACTTTCACAGTAACTTGCTCTTGAAGATATTTCAGCATTTTCGTCTTTTAGATCTACTGTGGTTATACAATAAAGATTGACAGGGTCACGTGAGGTCATACCTCTTGTTTTATAACAATGAACCATTGTTAGCTCTTTTATAGAGACTGCAGGTTTTGTTTTGATTTCAGCAGTGTGCTGTCTGCCCATTTGTTAAAGCCAACAATGGGAGCAGCCAGCTCACTGCTCAGACATACTCTGACAGGTTCTGAGAGATTCACATTCTTTGATTGAATATTTCTCTTTCTGTGCTCATAAACGTAGTGTTTTGTTCTCAAATGGTATCTGGTGCTTTGTGTAATTTGGACAATGTCCATCAGTTTGGGAGAAATGAAAAAACGTGCCCACTTGCAGATTCTGTGCTTCCTGAACTTCCTTACGGACTGAAGAATGCACATTCTTTGGGGACTCTCTCTGTGTGTTCTTTCTATATATGTTTTGGAAAAGGAATTTTATTGGACTCGGATTGGTTGAATTTTCAGTCCTATTAGCTTTATTTGAGTAGAAGGTTTATTTTATTCACAAGGAAATGTCAAGAACAAATGTATCTATTTGCAGATCAACTATCCTTTTTTTGCCTTTTAAACAAAATCAAAAAGATGTCATCTTTAAGGGGGCAGAGCGGGGGAGGCGATGATGTAAAAACACCCTGATGTATGGTTTTTATGCTGCACTTATGGTGCTGTGTTTGCATTTGCTGTTGTGAGGGGACTTAAAACTTCCCGACTATTTTGAAAGCAGAGTGAGGTTGGGTTTTCCATTTAATGTTATGCAAGGAATTGTTTCTTGCTGTTCAAACACCGAAGGCAGGTTGCATGGGAATGGTGTAAATAACTCTGAAAGTCCACTGATTTACAGGGGGATGTGGAACTCAACTCACGTTTGAGCAATCATTTTGGCTGGAAGATCTGAATAAAATCACTTACAGAACCTTACCTTAGAGATATATAAGTGAGGTATTCTTTTGCTTGCTTGAACTTTTCTAGGTCTCCATGAGTTTGATGCCTTACAAGATCCTGAAGTGAACGACTTTCGAGCTAAGATGCGGAGAATCAGTGAGGAGAAGATTCAGTCCCTTGTGGGTCTTTCCTGGATGGACTGGTTAAAGCACACTTACCCACCAGAACAGGAACCCGTTGTGCCAGAGAACTTCCAAGATAAGCTTTACAGTGGAAATCTTGTAGTGGCTATTCATTTTGATAACTGCCAGGTAGGAATGGATGTTCATCATATTTGATATACTGTTCTTGATTCTGATCTGAGTTAGAATGAGGCCGACCAAACAAGTGAGTGAAATAGATTAATGTTACCAGGGTCCTTGACTTTTGAAACAAAGTATGGAAGCCAACGAACAGTTGTGAACTCAAGTCAAATTACAGTTGTACTCTTTTCTGCTTTTAAAATTGAAGTGTACAACTCTTATGTTTTGTATTATTTTATGTTCATTTAAACCTAAAACACACTTCACACCCTTTTGGTCAGCTACTATTTGTGTGACTTCACTAGGATTTGATTTTAGGCCTGAGAGATGCTGAATGGGGAAGAACCAAATTCAACAGGGTTTTTCTGTTTGTGGTTTGTTTTTGAGAAATAAGTATAAAAAACAAGAGTTAGCTTTCCTTCAACTACACATGCATAGAGACAAATTTAACACTAGCTGGGATTTAAAATTAGCACAGCTTATTTTTAAAAAAGATTTTTTTTTTATGGTAAAATTGCTGTGTTTCTACTTCATTCCTCATTTTTACACTGTGTACTTCTTAATGGTGAGGTGTCAGCATGGGAAGCCTTAGAATCTCAGAAGAATGAAATAATAGACTATATTTGCTGTCCACTTTGACCTCGTTGTTAGATATTGATGTTCTAATGATTAAGCTAATTTTATTTGCAAAGCTGTATTGTTTCTATACCATCTTTATTAACACTAAGAAAAAATAATAATCTAAAGTTGTAAAATGTAAAATGTAAAGTTGTAAAATTATACCTGGCTTTGGAAGCACTAAATGCAGAGATGAATATTGCATTTGGTAACCAGTACCACTATCTGATGTGGGATACGTAGGAGTTTTTACAAAAAGAAACCTCACAACTTTTCCAGTTGTTTACAGCATAGCAGAGGACTTGTAGTTTTTCAGGAACAATGGGAATATCTGTTTCAGTCAGCTTTTGAGGATAGCATTGTGTGTAAGTTTGTATTTGATATAAAAGGAATGCAGAAGTTGCTGTTGGTTCAAAATGCATTTGCCTGCCTCTGTAATAGCTTGGGCTCCCAACATTCCAAATATTTCAGATCTTCTGCTACCAGTTCTGACCTTCGAAGCTGCTAACAGTTCAAATTGGAGCCATTTTTTAGGGCACTAACCTCTGTTCTGGACTACTTGCATTGAGTACTGTAAGACAACTTGGAATTGAGTAGGAAATTATGGAGACTGCTGCATCCTTCCAGTAGAACACTGCAAGAGTGAGAGGAAGAAATACTAAAGTATTTGTTGATAAGAGTACACGAGGGATCTGTAAAACCTACCTAAATTGGCTTTGGAGCAAGAGAGAGAAACTAATCACCATTGCTGTGATGTGCACACATGTAAAAATACTATTTTGAATTAAATCAGCCATTGTAGGACACCAGGTTTCTGGGAAGGAAAGGGTTCATTCCTGTGTGCCCACTGTCAGTTATAGTAAGAGAAGCAAGCCTTTGCTGCTCGGAGCGTTCTGAGCAGGGGAAGCTAGAAATATGAAACTCTTTTTGCCTGACTTTGCACAGTTAGGTTTTTTTGCTTAGCTTCTTACTTATAAACTTCAACGGAAGTCAAAGTAATGCAAGTCAGACAACACTTGGTTTGTAAATAGCTGCTCTTAGTGTGCTTGTGTGTTTGTGAGTGTGTGTGTGTGTGTGTGTGTGCAAAAAAAAAAACAAACCCCAAAAGCCACCAAAACAAACAAAAGAACAAACAGAACTCGCTGGATCAGCCTTTCCACATCAACATTGTAGATGCAGGGAGAAGAAAGACTTCACAAAAGATCTTCTTTTACATTAGGAATAATGACATTCAGTGCACTTAAATCTTTTTTCCCCCTAATTAAAAAAAAATTGAACTAACTTCTTTAACTTTTTAAGACAGAAATAAAAATGACAGATACAATGAAAAGATTTGATTAAATTTTTTCTTTCGAAGTGGAGTCCTTCCACGTTGTATGCCATGGGTGTTGCCTGCTATCCCTCTTTCCTTCACTCCCTTCACATCCCCTCAGTCACAGTCTGACTATGAAAAGTGATATCTGGTCTTCCTGTTTGTGTTTTGTTAGGATGTATTTAGTTTTCAAGTGTCTCCTAACATGAATCCCATCAAGTTGAATGAACTGGCAATCCGAAAACGTTTGACTATCCATGGAAAAGAAGATGAGGAAATTGATCCTGCTGACTATGTGCTGCAAGTTAGTGGGAGGCTAGAATATGTTTTTGGTGATCATCCGTTAATTCAGTTTCAGGTATGCCAAGCTCTTTGGAGCTCATGGTAATCATTGCTCTCTGGAGCTTTAGCCAGAATGTCACTTTGTATCGTGTGCCATTGCATAGTGAACAAAGCTGAGCAATAATGTTCTTCGTCATGCCTGCTCTGCTCTCCCATTGTAAAACAAATGTGCATCATTTCCTTTGTAGCTCTGCAATATATTCTGATTGCTTTGATTTGAAAGTTTTTGCAGAAATATTGTTAGTTTCTAATTCTTTTCCATGGGCTTTTAGTATATACACAACTGCGTGATGAACAGGACTCTTCCTCAGCTGACTCTAGTTGAGTGTTGCACCATAAAGAAAATGTGTGAGCAGGAAATGATTGCCATAGAAGTTGCCATAAACCGAAAATCATCCAACCTTCCTCTTCCCCTGCCACCAAAAAAAACAAGAGCAACAACAGTAAGTTAATGTGAAGAGTATCTGATATCCAAAAGGAAGAGTGGATTGTGCAATGTAAATCACAGTGTCTGGGATTTCTGCTATTACTTCTGTTTTCCAGAATAGGTCTCCTGGGTCTCCTCAGAGCCTTCTGTTGCTTGCTAGTTTTACATCAGGAATAGCAGGCCTCACAACTTCTTGGATGCTTTCCTGTCCTCACCTCCCCCTTGCTCTCTTTTCCCCGATGCCCCAGAAAGATCCACTGTCACACTGTCACTGCTATTGATTTTGCTCCCAACCAGAAGCCAGAAGAGTGGATAATAATCTGTTACCAGCAACTCGAGAACTTACAGCACAGAGCTGTATTCTCCAGCTTCAGCATATGTAGGCTCCACTGGCTTGGACACTAGTGATCTGGGGTTTCTTGTTTTAGCCCCCCTCACGTCTTATATGATGTTTTCACTTCAACGATGGCAACTTTTGCTATCAGATAAGTCTAACTTTTAATGTAGTGTTTCCTTCATTGTTAAACTTAGCATGGCCGTATAACACCGTTGTAATTTGTGTATTGTTATTCTAAGGAATGGGGACAGGCTTTGTTCTTTCAATTTGTAGCTATATATTCAGAGCATTAATGCATTTGAAGGGTTATTATTAATTGTCAGCAAGTAGTATGCAGTGTATTTTCTTCTCGCCCTCTCTCCCCAAAATCTTCAGCCCGGTGTTTTTTCTGTCCTTTCCTTGTGGAGCATCCGAGATGCTCTTGTAGTTATGGGAACCAATTTGTTTTTTAAGATTTCAAATTCATATTTTTAAAAATGTCTAATTTTGTTTGTATTTATGGCTTCTGCTGAACATGTTTAGCTTGTAAAGTAATTATGCTGATTAAGAGAAAACTTACATTTTTATTTCCCTTCTCAGAGTGTATGGGACATTTGCAGCCCTTTCAAGATTATTCTATTAAAGGGTAATAAGCTAAATACAGAAGAAAATGCCAAAGTAAGTAATTTTGCGTAGTTTCAGAAGACACTCTGATAATAATTTTAATGCTTTTCTACATTTAGTGAACTCAGAATTGAACAGGTTTCAGGTGAGCAAAAGTGTATGCATTATTGCTTAATTGTATCATTAGTATTGCTTAAGATCTTAATTAATTGCTAAAACTGTTGCTGTATTGTTGAAGTTGGATACGTGCATTATGGCATGCCCTGTATGTTGGCATGATGCTTGTTGGCCTTTTTTTCAAGTATCTGTAAGTATTGATACAAAATAACCTTATTCAGGCCAAACTTCCCTAAGCATCTGGCAAGCAAAAGTAGATTAAATATTTTACGTTTTTAATTGGAACTGAAGATATTTTTCGTAGTCCAGGATAAACTCTGGGTTTCTAAGCATGGATTGTGTGCTCCTATACAATCTGTCTCTTATTTTCTAAACATGCTGCACACACAAAAGAAGCTGTAGTATCACTTCCTGTAAAATGCACATGAGTAGGCTACTGCCTGTGTTACAGACCACAAGCTGTTAACACGTGGGGAGTTTTTGCACAGTTACTTTACGACCTTACAAGACTTGTGAAGACTTGTTGTGAACAACATTGATTTCCTTTATTTTATTTGAGCAGCAGTTAATTAATTAGATTGGAGAGAAATTCAATTGGCCATTGAAGCTGGCTGTTCTGATGCTTTATTCATGATAGACATTGCATTTTTTTTCTTCAAAACTACTGTCATGATGTCCATGTGCATTCAGAATATGTCATTGTACTGCATTGCTAAATGGGCCATGGCTACAGATTTGACATATAAGCAGTGTGGCTTTAGAAATGGATGTCTGCAAAACCAGGCATTCTTCTTTTCTTGATCTGAACTGTTATTCAGCTAGTTGTATTTTCTTCTTAGCTCTACAGTCTGTGGACTCTTACAGTTTTAAAATGGAAGGGGGAAAAGAAGATGGATTCCAGAAGCAACGTAGTTACTAGATATTTTTTTAGTATATATGAAAAATGAACTTTTAATGAATTTCAACGTGACTCTCCAGAAAAAAATAAAATATGTTGATCAGAAGCTTGAGAAACAACAAAAAATGATAATCCTTAAGAATTGGTACCTGTGGAAACTGTCTGAGGAGTTTTTAGTATTCTGAATGCACTTTCAGTCTTGAAAACTTAAATTTGCCTTAGTTATTCAGTGTCATGCATTAAATGTAATGTCACCTTTCACACTTGTGCACGTTTGTCTGCATTGTTTCTCTGTGCTGTTATGGAATTGTGTCACTGTAAGAATGTATTTGTTTCCCATTCATGACTTCTTAGAATGTAATGTTTAATTGGCTGCTGTTGTCCAGGACAGTACTCAGAATACCAAACCAGTATTCAGTTTTGCTGATAGCATCAACAGAATTCCTATGTGCAGTGTTTGTAGGTGGAAACAAAACGTCTGTCAGATGTGAGCTGCATTTGAGTATTTTTACTTAGAACATCATTGACTTTGTTCAGCTGTTTAACACCCAGTTTTCCAAACAGGTGACATTTGAAATGGCATTTTGCCTTGTTATTTGGCTGTGCCTTTGTTACACACAATTTCAGTAGTAAAAAGGAAACATCAAAACAAAAAGAACAAAATTTAGTATCCAATCCCTTATTTTTATCAGGAATGGAAATTGTAGAATTAGGAGTGGTCAAAGGCAAGCAGTGAGCAGTGCATTCCACGTGCATCCAAGCTGCTTTGTTATTATCACATTGTACTTGATCACTTATTTTCTTTCACTACACTTACTTTCTTCCACTAGCTTTTTATTGTATTATAAAATGAAAGAAAAGTCAGGGAAAACTGGGGCCATGCAGAGCTTACAAATCAGATGTCAGGATATCAATAATATTGAAAGCTATGCAAATATGAGTTTATGAACCTGGTTTTAAATGATTCAGACAGACTTTAGAACATTTACAATAGATGACAATCTACAAAGGATTACAATCTATGAGATAGCTCTGAATCAGCAAAGGAATGTGGTGTAAATCCAATTGATCGTGCAGTAAATCTCCAAATGGATTAGCAAGGACCATCTGATGACTTGTTTCAAATCAGCTGTGAACCAGTTTTAACCACTTCTCTGGTATCAGCCCCAGTATTTCCTTTTGGACGAATATAATGCTGCAATCTGTAATTACAGAAACATTTTAAGAAAGCCCTGTAAATGAAAACAGGAATTTTGACTGTGTGTGTGAATATATACACAGATGGTTACATGTATTTATGTACATGTACATTCATAGTCTGTTTACATCTCAGATTTCCTGAAGTAAGATTTCTTTCCAGCATGCTGTGTTTCATTGATGTTCATGTAGCTGTTCTTACCTCACATGGGCTCATAGTGGTGAAACGTGACAAAAATAGGTGAAAATGAAGTTTATGAATATCATTGGGACTCAAATAAATGTCTTTAAGTTGACTATTTCCTTTCAGTGATTGATTATGTTTGGAAAAAAATTGTTACAATATAGATATGCAAGTTAACTGAGTCAGTTTAACAATGGGTTTTCCTGTGGTACCTGCATCAAGGAGTGTAACTCGCTGCAGGGCGTTCTCCAAGACCTGATACTTGTGTTATGAGTGCAGCCTCTGCATCTATGGCAGGAGGATCTTGCACAGAATGATCAGATGGGGCATTGTTTGGATATGGTCTGTTGGTGCTGCTGGGCTGCTGGCAGATTTTCTTTGGCGTGGCTTCATTTAATCTGTAGTAAAATATCAAAATTGTTTGTTATCAAGTTAGAAATGTTGATTAAACGTATGTATGTTCTGGGTTATATTCTGTGCAGAATTCTGTAGGTTCTGTGGCAAGTCTTAATATTTCTTCTCTAATTCCCTTAATGCAGGTTCATGTTAGGGCTGGTATTTTCCACGGTACAGAGCTCCTTTGTAAAACCATTGTAAGCACAGAAATATCTGGGAGAAGTGACCATGCTTGGAATGAAGTACTGGAGTTTGAAATAAATGTCTGTGATCTACCAAGAATGGCAAGACTCTGCTTTGCAGTCTATGCTGTGATGGATAAGATGAAAACTAAAAAGTCAACTAAGTCAATGAATCCCTCCAAATACCAAACCATTAGGAAAGCAGGAAAAGTGGTAATCATAATTTTTTTTTTCTTTTTTTTTTTTTTTCCCTTTTGTACCTCTGAACTATATATAACATGTTTGGTAATCATTATATAATAATATAGATAATTAGATAATTATAAATTATATTTATTTATAATTATAAACAATAATTAGAAATCTTTCGTTGTCCTCACTTCAGTTTTCAAGAATACAAAATGAAAAATAAAGGTACTGAAAAAGTATACATGTGAAGAATTACACATTCTTGTACACAAGGGTACAAAAAACCCTTTTCCTGCTTCTCAGATGCTGAAAAGACATGAATGTTTTGATTTTAAGCAGGTTGGCAAATGACTACTTAACCAATTGTATTTTAAGGTATTAGTTTTGTTCTCATCTCTAGAACTCGAGATGAATTCTGATGGGGAAAAAATGTGAGCATCTGGGCTTGTGTTCAGAGAAATGTCTGTTTTTAGGCTGGCAGAGTGGCTCCTTAGAACTAAGTCCTATTGTCTCAAAGGACCCAGAGCACATATGAACACTGTGCTCGTGTTTAATTGCTTTTCTGAAAGAGTGACACTGAGATGAAGAAACCCCACACTGAAACCCCTACCATCTTAGTTTCTACATAGAAACTCTTTCTGTTAACAGCACTACCCTGTAGCCTGGGTAAATACCATGGTGTTTGATTACAAAGGACAGCTGAAGAATGGAGAATTCGTACTGCACAGCTGGTCATCATTTCCAGGTAAAGTTTAACTTTCTGTACTTGTATTTGAAATATTTGACATTGAAGAGCAGTATCAAATAGAATATTGGCTACATGCACGTGCAATTTTCTTGTCATAATTTCTTTGCTACATGTACTTTTTTATGTAGGAAAAATACATGACTCTTACTGTCTTTCATGAAAGTACTGTTAATCTGACAGGAGGACAAATGAGAGCTTGCTTGAAAACAGCATTTCAGTGTTCTGAAAGTGTTACGTTACAGAAAGAAGATCACTTGAAACTGGAGATGCATACTTAAATCTAGTGTTATCTGGTTGGGTTTTTTAATGCATTTTAGGTTTCATTTGCTTACTTGTGCTATGTTTTAAACTCAGTAGGTGAGCTATGTTGTATGTGACAATGCTGGAGACTGCAAAACGTGTGAGTTAGAATTTTGTTTTTGAGAATTCCTTCCTTGGAACTTAGATTGATCAGTAAAACAGTCTGAAATCTACATGTTACTCTTCAGTTAATTATGAGAATTGCAGGATTAATCTGGCTTTAGTGTTGGGGGAAAAAGCTCAACGCTTTTGACTCTTTTTCATGCTATTTGATATGGAGGCAGTGCATGTGTGGGTTTACAGAGACTGATGTTACGGGGACTGAAGCTGCATTTAGGGATTTGTCTCAGGGTAGCAGTATCCAGGGTTCCTTTGATGTTACATTTCTTCTGGAAGGAGAAAATCTTTTGTTTTTCCTTTTGTGATAATCCAGCATCTGTGAATACAGAATGTCTGCAATGTTTATGTCAGAGAAGCCTGCACTGGAGAGGTGCTGTGCAGACCACTGTCAGTCATTTTAGACCGAAGGACAGTGACACAATAAGATTATTATCTTTTTAAATTTAATGTTAATTGTTCTTGCTAACATTTTAGATGAGCTTGAAGAAATGTTAAATCCAATGGGAACTGTCCAGACTAACCCTTACACTGAAAATGCAACAGCTTTGCACATTAGATTTCAAGAATATTCGAAACAGCCTATTAATTACCCTCCCTTTGATAAGGTAAGATGTGACAGAGTGGTCGAGAATGCTTGTATGCAAATGGCTTTTTCTTTACTTTCAGCTGCTTTTGTCACTGAATTTCCCAACTTTCTGGAGTTGTTTGAACTTGCAGTATATAATAATGTCAGTGCTCTGCCTTCAGAGTCTTCAGATAATCTTTGAAGACATGCATTTTAAAATACTCTTTGCATGCTGTCTTGAGAGTCAGCAGCACAATCACTTTCCAATACCAATGTTCTTTTAAAAAGCCAAACTTCTGTACAACACTGGAAACCTTCACATTTTGCCTGTCTGTGACTGTAAAGATCTATTACTACTTTGTACAAATGTGTTACAATGTTTTTCAGAATGCTTATCTCCTCTCTGAGCTGAATTTTTTTTCAAGACTCTTTGTAGTGTATAAAAATGGACTGGGAAGTCAGTGCAGTAAACTCTGGTTATTTGTTCCACAGAAGCACACGTGATTCCTCGTATCTACAATATGATAGTGTTGTAATTATTTAAAAGATGGTAAAATCTACTTATCTTTGATTATTTCAATGGCAGATTTGTATTTAAATCTGAGCTGTTTTAAAATGTCTTTTTGCAGATACTTGAAAAGGCAGCTGAGATTGCAAGAAGCAGTGATAATGCTGCGATGGCGGTAAGCGACTGCTAAAGGCAGCACTTGAACATTGCTTTGGGGGGTATTTTCTTCTAATCTTCTGCATCAATCCAACAGAAAATAATACAACTACTTGAATAACTATAATTCTATGGGCTTTATTTGCTTGCATAATCCACTTGTTGAGCATTAAACACACTCGTTCATTCTTTTTCAATATACTTTGGACTTCCGACTTATTTTTCATCAAATAACTCAACTGCTATGCAGACTCTTTATGGATTTGGAACATAACAGAGCTGAGGTTTTCATTAGAGTTGGAAAGCATTCCTAGGGTGCATAAAATATTGGGCAACTGCTCAGTTGGATTAAGTATGACAATTTGCCTGATGGTTGGGTGCTTCCAAAGAAGTACTCTGATAAATGATCTTTAGTCTATTAAAAATATTGCTTACATATGGGTATTACTTGCTCTTCTTCAGAATTCACATAGTTCTAACTTGACAAACTTCAAAACAATCACCAAAATCTGAAGGTGTTTTCTTTGTATCATTTTTTTACTTTTGGGAAAAAAGTCATTGTAAGCATGCAGAAGGTTCTAATTTAAGAAGGTGAAGCACTGGGACTTAGCAGCAGTAAGAACTGCATTGTGTGTAAGAATACAGCAGTTAGTTGAAAAAAGGTCAGTGAATGCATCAGTGAGTGCATAATGTGATTGGGAAAAATGAAAGCTCACTACTGCAGTTGGTATGAACTGTCTGGTGTATAAATAATTGGAAATCTCAAGTAGCAGAATGCCACTTTATTGTGAAGACTGGTTTTTTGTTTGTTTTGATACAGAAACAGAATGTTTACATAGTTTTACTACTAAGCCATTGAGTTCAACTAATTATTTTAAGTCTATTCACATCCAAGGAATTTCTACTTGCAACAAAATAATTAAAACACTTCAGCATTGAATTGACACTCATCCTTTCCAGGGGGAGCCGAACAGGTTGTGTGTATATCAGGTGTAGTTTTGTTAGCTGGAAATCCTATGCAGAACACCATACTTTAATGGTAATTTTTTTTCTGTTATCAGTCCTAGTTGACTTTTACTACAATTTCTTCTCAGCTTTACTTTGATTTTTTTCATTTTCCAGTGATGTAAAGACCATTTGGCCAAGCTCTTAAAATTATGCTGAAACTTCCATTGGCTTTTCTGGTAAAGATGGCTTTAGTATTAGAAAACTGAGATATTGCTTATCTAAATATTACATTGGAACTAGTTTATTCCTGTCAACTATTGCATCCTTACTCAGATGCACCAGTTACTCATCTCCCATTAATTTATGGAATTTTGTTGTTGCTGATATCATCACTTTAATTTCCACCCTTTCAGTCTCAAGTATGGCTCAGGAAAGGAAGATTTAACTTGCAAAGATGCTTTCATGCAGACTGATGTACAGAACCAGTACTTACATCAGTGTTTCAGAGAGATAGAACAGCACGTTGTCTGAAAGAGAAAGGTCTGGAAGAGAAGACAGAGGTGTTTCTTTGCATGCTTAGTAAATATAGTTACCTTTGGTTATTGTTGGAAAAGTGACTTTTGGCCTTTAATTAAAATATACAGATAGATAGATAAGGTGTTATAGATATATAGCATTTACTCATTTGAAAAACAAAAAGAAAAATATATGCATCCCAGCAAGTGGTTTCCATGTTGGATTGGAATACAGAAATATTGCCACCTAGTGTCCTTAATTCTGAAGTTATTTTACAGGAACTTGTGTGCGCTGAGTTTTGAATGACTGCTGGGTGCAGTTCTTAGAACAGGTTTGGCCATCTGAAGGAAAGGCTTCACTGTCATTCCCTTCTATCTCATGTTGTTCTTGGTACAGCATTTCCAGTACTTGAGCTAAAATCTAAGAATCCTACTGAACATACCAAAACGTACTTCTATCATTTTCTAGGGTCGAGGTGGTAAAAAATTTTACATCGTGCTAAAAGAAATAATGGAAAGAGATCCTTTATCTCAGCTCTGTGAAAATGAAATGGATCTCATCTGGACTCTGCGATACGACTGCCGTGAAAATTTTCCACAATCGTTGCCAAAGCTGCTGCTCTCCTTAAAATGGAACAAACTTGAAGATGTTGCTCAGGTAAGACAGAAGGGAAAGATGGTGTAGAAAATGTCCGTGTCCCAGGGTAGGTAATTAAACCTCACTGAAGCAGACATTCTTTGTTTATTTATTTGAGAGGGACAGCACTCGCTCGTGATAGGAAATGCCTCTTCTCATCATATAGAGTTTGATCAAATATTTGCAGTGATTGCATGCCTGCTTCACAGGGTGGTTAATAGTAACATAACATATCACTGTATACGGATGGGAGGTTTTTTGTCTGATGGTGTACACAGCAGGTTGGGAGGAACAAGAAAAATTTCATCTGGTGTGAACACTGACAGTACTCTAATGCAGAAACCAGCACTGTGTTGTACAGTTAGATGTGTATGTCCTGCGTATGGTTTTGTCAGGGAGGAATGCAAATTTATTTTGTCTGTGCCATGAGCACTGCAGTAACAAAGTACAGCACCCAGACAGTCATCACTCCCTTGTTCTTTTTCACATCCAGTCTCTTTCTTGTTCTTTATTAATTCCATTATGTGCTTCTGAATTAATTGTTCTCTTTTAAAAGTTGTCTGGAAATATGAGTTGTAGACGTGGAAGCATTTATTGTTTAGTCATTAAAATATGTGAAGAAAAAGGCGTTCTGATCACTTGCTGGGGGCTTTAGAATACAGCCTAATTATTGAAAAAGTTGATTGGAATATGGATATTTTTGACAGCTCAAAAAATCCCTTAAATTTGAGTATATAAAAAAGAATGTATAAGGCAATTTATTTAAGCTTGTGGTTGAAAATACATAATAATCCTGGTTGTTATTGTGTTATTTTGGAAAAGGAATGCAGTGTTTGTTTGCTTATGCATAGATGGTATTGTGGTTTATATTTGAAAGCTGTTGTTGGCAGCAAGAACAGCCTATCTGTAAAGTGAGATGTTATCCCTAAGCATGCTCAATGTTTCTGTAGTACTTAGACATGTAAGCATTCCAACGGGCTTCACCTCAGCTGAGGTGCAGCAATCTCATGGAAATGTAAGAATTCCAAAACAGGCAGGACTCATACTTTGCCTCTTATTGAAATCATACAGTGCTGGCTGTGTGTTGCAGTAGCTGTTCTACAACACAATGTGTGCCTCAGTAGCAGAAGTGCTTTGCAGTGAGAGTCTGAGAGCCAGAGCAAAAAGTAACAGTTAAAAAAATAAATAAAACATGGCTGTTGACATGAAAAATGAACTAAATAGCTATGTTCTGATTTATTGTGGCTCAAATACAGTAAAATCTCTTAGAAATTGAATACTATATTTGATTGTAAACCATCTATATTAATTCATGGTGTTTTGTGCAATGGATGAAAGCAGCTTTCCTGTATTATTTACCACATAGTTTTCGTCCAAACTCTGGTTGTGTTGTAGCATTTTAGTAGTGGAATTGCAGTGAACGAATTCCCAAGGTATTTGTCCTTACTGTCACCCTGCAGGGCAGTGTGGTGGCAGAACTTGTTGGCAGGACTCACAGGCAGAATTTATTCTCAGAATAGAAATCGGTCACTGTTAAAAAATAAAATAATATCCGACCACTGTCACTCGAGTGGAAGAGTTTAAGTGAGGGCGACCTCTGTTGTCTAAGCAGATGAGAGTATTTCATGCTGCAGGTTTCTTCTGTCCAAATACAACAGGCATTTCTGATATCCTTTGAGCTGCCCTTCTGTGCCATTTATTTGCAGTGCCTTGGATGTGGAGCTAGATGGGCTGCACTTCTTTTAATAAAAGTTCCAAGGAAGAATGGGGACAGAGAAATATGTCAAATGGGGAATTTTCTAGGCTGTTTCATAGGTCAGTTAGATCTTGCTTCCTCCAGGTCGTAATCAGTTAAAATTTTGTCATTTTTCTAATCTCTCAAATGATTTCAGCAATGGATACTGCTGGCAGCCAAAATGAGGAGATCTGTATCTTCAAATAAAATTCATAGTGAATGTACACATTGTAGGTGATGAATTTCAAAATTCATTCCTGGATATGAAGCATGTAATGCCTCTTTGACCTTCCTTTTCAAGTTGTAACTCAGATTCCCTATTAATTTTGAACATTCATTATTAACAAAACGCTTCTGTATTTGTGTTGTTTCTGCACCTGATTTAAAGTGGCTTGTCTAAAAATCCTGATACATTTGTTTTGAAATTTCTTCTGTGTCGGGCAGGCATAACTGCTGTTTGCATTTTCAACATCTGTTTTATGGTATTAAGTGTCTGCTCAGTGTCAGTATTTAGTTTAGAAATTCAGTACAAGTGTTCGTGGTAAGTAAGTGTTGATGGCTGCAGTGTTTCTGGATGTAAAGACTTGTGGTGCTGACCCTTCTGAGCGAAGGACTGAACAGATTTGGAGCGTATGTTTTTGTGGAAAGATAATGTTTATATGTAAAAACATCTTTATTTTTAATACATATGCTAGATACTGCATTTACACGTCTGAGCCTGTTTAGTTTATCTAATAGTGTGCTGTTTCAGTCATATTGCTATGTACATATTATTAAAAATATATCCTTCGTGGATATCTTCATTGAAATGCAATAAAAAGGGTTCATTTCATGAGACCTTTAGATGCTTTAACAAATGCTTTAATGGACTGTTACATCAAATTGTTTTCTTAAATAACTTCTTTAACTGTAACCTCACAGTCTTCTTTTTAAAACAGCTTCAAGCTCTCCTTCAGATATGGCCTAAGCTGCTGCCTAGAGAAGCTTTAGAATTGTTGGATTTCAATTACCCAGACCAATATGTGAGAGAATATGCAGTGGGTTGTTTAAAGCAAATGAGGTGAGTTTATAGTGTTATTTGTTCAGTGTGTGAAATGTTCTTGAGGGGTGTGCACAGAGGAGTACTGCGTTTTGGTTGTCTCTAGAAAAAAAAAGCTTCAAGAGGAAAGATTCAAGTGGACAGCCTGCTGTAAATAATGACCAAATAAAGCAATCTTTCTCAATAAGCAAATTGGCAGCCAAATGAGATCTCCTTATTCTGATATCTTGTATTCAAAGATCATTATTTTTCATGCTGCTAAAGAAAACTGGTGTACTTTTGTTCCAGAAAGTTGTGTTCACTCCTTTCTTGGACAAAGGGTGAACAAAGTGTTGTGAGAACTTTTTAATGATGAAAAGATGAAGTATCACAGTAGTCAAATAATGCAAAAATGTCCATCCTGCTACTTCATGCTTTTTGTCAGGTATTTGCTGTATCATTTAATTTGAAATGTTTGCTTTTATGTAATGTGCTACAAAGGAGAATTCCTGCTTTGATTGATTTTCCCAGTAGCCTCTGCTATCTAAGTTCTTCCCTTATCACGTACATTTTACTCTTCAGTGTAACCTAGAGGAAGATTTATTTCATGTTATCATTTGCAGGACTACTGTATTTCCTGTCCTTGAATTCTAATGTCTCTGTGGTGAATAGTTTAATGATTCATTTTTTAATGGTCAAGGCTATGTATTTGAAAAACATATTTTGACTTCTTTCAAATGTAAACAAGCAGTTTAGCTGCTATCCAAATAATATTGAATTGTTACATCTGGAATTATTTCTAGAATTCTTAGTTCTGGCTCTGAAACAAAATTGTGTCCAGTTGGGTATCAATTTCCAACTTTAAAAAGTGCCGAAGACAGCTGGTAGAAGCTGTGAATCCTAATAGCTGAAATGAGAGAAGTAGGGAAAAATAAATATAGCACAGCATGATTGAGCATTTTGACCAAGTTACTGAATGGTGTTCCCATGGGTCAGCACTGGGTACAATCCTGTTTAACATCATCAACTTGGATGGAAGGATTGAGTGCACCCTTAGCAAGTTTCCAGGTGATCTGAGCTGACACAGAAGAAGGCAGTGGTGCCGTTCAGCTGAGGCTTGGACAGGATGGAGGGTTGGGAGGAGGGGAACCTTTTGCGAGTCAACAACAGAAGGTGCAAAGTCACCTTCACCTGGGAAGGAATAACCACGTACATCAGTATGGGTCAGGGGCTGGCCTGCTGGAAAGGAGTTCTGCAGAGGAGGATCTGGGTGTCCTGGTGGACGGCAGGTTTGCCGTGAGCCAGCAGTGTGTCCTTGTGGGCAAGAAGGCCATTGGCAGCCTGGGGTGTATTACAGAGAACGCGGCCAGCAGGGCGAGGGAGGTGATCTTCCTCCTGCACTCTGCCCTGGTGAGGCCACATCTGCAGCACTGTGTCCAGTTCTGGGCAATCTAGTTCAAGAAAGACAGAGACCTAGAGAATTCAGCAGAGGCCACACAGTTGTTTAGGACCTGGAGCATCTCCTGTACGAGGAAAGGCTGAGAGACTTGGAGCTGTTCTGGCTGGAGAAGGCTGATGGGAATTTACAGTGCTTGTAAATGGGCAGGAATCAAGTGGATGGGGCCGTGCTCTTTTCATTGGTGCCCAGTGGCAGGATGAGGGGCAATGGGCTTGAGCTGGAGCACAGGAAAGTCTACCTGAACACAAGAAAGAGCTTTACTTTGAGGATGGCAGAACGCTGAAATGGGCTGCACTGAGAGGTGGAGTCTCCTTCTCTGGAGATAGGCAAACCCCAGCTGGATGCTTTCCTGTGTAACTCAACCAAGGGAACCTGCTTTAGCAGGGAGTTGCTCTAGGTGACGTGCAGAGATCCCTCTGAGTCTGAAGGTTTTCAGAGTAGGAGTGAGAGAACAGAAGAATATTTGTGTCTCCCAAATCCTCAGGTGATGCACAGAAGAATTGCTGCTCTTTCCCTTTCATCCTAGGCAGAGGATTTGAATTCTACAGACCATTTATGAAGAGGGAAGACATTTGAATGTAAAAAGTCTGGGAAAGTTCAGGTTCTGTTCTGGATTAACGTAACTCTCAAGTGTTTGAGGGTTTTGTTGTGATGGGAAAGATGGGTACAGGGTTTTAAAGAAAATTATTGGAATTATTTGTATTATGTCACAATATTAAGTACTTAAAGTATTTAAAACTACTATATTAATGAGTACACGGGCTTTTAAAATAAGTGTTTCTATGGACTATTGCTAAATGCTTAAATTTGCCTTCCTGAAGTACTTTGGGCAAGATGATGTTTTTTTAATATATATTTTTTTTTGAGACAGGGAGGAAGATCACATGTTGGTATGGTTTTTAAGAGCAAATCAACAAAAATAGAAACATTTTGGCTAAACTAGTTGTTTTATAATAGATATTTTAGTAAAGCAGCTCATTCTAGCTTACAGGTAGCAACTTCTTAAGGTAGCAACTTCTTAAGACAGGTTAGTTAAATTACATTCAGTGGAGTGAATATTGCTTTCCTTCTCTGTTTAAGCTGGGTAACTTTGAAACAGGTTTGCACATATTCTTAGGTATGCCTCAGGGGTCTTTTTTGCCCATGCCTGTTGCAGTTAGATAACTGGTAGGTTACAGTGCTTCCAAAGGTACAGTTTCTTAGTCAGAAGTTGAGGGCAAAGAAGAGTGAATGTTCTTCTGTTCTTCAGAAAAACCTCTGGAACAATTAATCTCCTGGCTGGTTAACCTGGCACTCAGGCTGAGGTGTTGATCATGTAACGGATCGTGGTAAAATACCAGGTTTTACTTACAGGTTTGATAGCTTTAAGAATCTTTCAGAATTATAACATATCGATTAAGTGATCAAATCTGGCTGTTGCATAAGTTGTGTGTGTATTCGTATTTTTCTGTAAATGATTGGAAAGTTGGGATGAAACTGAAACTATTGAAACTAAATCTGTCCTAATTGGGTTTATCATATGCATCTGAATTTCTGGAATGTCATTAATCTGGTTATTCTGTTATTAACTGGTCTTATGTACCTCATTCTAGTGATGAAGAGCTTTCTCAGTATCTTCTTCAACTTGTGCAAGTCCTGAAATACGAACCTTTTCTTGATTGTGCTCTCTCCAGATTTCTACTAGAGAGAGCACTTGCTAATAGAAGAATAGGACAGATGTTGTTCTGGCATCTAAGGTAGGAACGTTTCTCTTATATTTTTCTGAAACTGTTGATGTAGGTGGGACTTCTGGGACGTAGATCAAGATGTTAATATTTATTTGTTTATTTTTACGCCCTTGGCATTTATTGATCAAAGCCAGCCTATAGTTGAAATTTTATTACTGTGCTTTGTAATCTGCTGTTTGAAGAAAATTCCTCTCTAGGCAACTGTTAAGTTAGGTTTGTGTTTGATTTCAGTGCTTGTTTTGACTGTGCATGTAGTAAAACTGCAATACTTACACCTCAACTGTGAGGAAAAAAATAAATCAGAAAATAACAGAAGAGCAGTTCTGTGTGCTCTTGCTGTATGTGATGATCAGTTCCATGAGTTGCAGGTACCTTGCAGCATTTACTTACATGTTGATTCTGTGTTTGGAATCCAACTTATTATTCTGATATTTCTAAGTGAAAAGAGCAAGCTTTACTTGAAAATGTTTTGGAGGATTATTGGATAATTGGCACTGCACTGAAGTTCAGTGGTTTCTTTCAAAGTGTTTTTCCTCAGAGAAATTTTGTTTCTTTCTTATGAAGTTTTGAAAACACACACTTGAACATTAGCCCTAACTCTCAATATCATCTATTAGCACTGCTTTCTTTAATATAAGCAGATCCTGAAAACAAATATCGAATTGCTACCGCTTAACAGTTTTGCATCTACAACAGTCCAAGACCTAGAAACAAGTGGTATGTGGAAACTGGCTATTCCTTATGAGTGTTCAGCATGTGTGCGTTGTTATTTCTTACAAAATGTAGCTTTTATCTAAAAGTGTTCAAGTGTTTTGTTTTTTTCTTTTTCTCAGTTTCAACAGCTTTAAATGTTTATCTGTAAAATTGTGCGGTCTGTTTAGATAAATGAGAAGCCTTTCTGCTGTGATGTTCCCATGCAGGTCAGAGGTTCACATACCTGCTGTTGCAGTACAGTTTGGTTTGATACTTGAAGCTTACTGCCGAGGAAGTGTTGCTCACATGAAAGTGCTTGCTAAACAGGTATACAGTCCCCTCCTCCTTTAAACTCCACATGCTAGCTTGTAACTCAAATCCTTTTCCATTTTCCTCTGGGCCATAAGGTTACCTTGACAAATTCATCTGTTTAGGAAAGAGGAAGGTGAGATGGAGAGGAGCAAGCATGAGTGAGAGGGAGAAATGCATTTGGATGGGTGTAATGAAGGAGCTGCTCTCCCTGGTACAGAAAGCAGCCAGTGCTGTGGGATCTTAGGGGCTGCTTTGTCGTGTTCTGAGAAGTGCAAGGTAGTTTGAGCAATGTGCTGCATTCTGGGTTGAGCAGTAGGCTGCCCAGATTATTAGCAGAAGAGTTTATGTACACTTAAAACTTGTGACATTTTTATTTTGCCCAATAGAAACTGTTGCATTTCTATCCATACTTCATATAGATGAGTCCAGGACAACCTCCTACAGGTTCTGCTTTTGTTAAAAAGTGATGCCAAAAATGCTGAAGCTGTATATTATATATAAATACATGTATGTATACAAATATACACATAAATTGTATCTAAATTTATTTAGATACTTTATATATATATATATCCATTATATATATATAAATTGTAGTTCTCCCTGGAAAGAAAGACGTTGAAACAAGCTAAATCATTTAGTGTTAATATGGATTTGTTATGTTTTTTTCTTTGATAACAACAACAAAAAGATATTTGCTTTTAAGTACACTTGGTAAGTATATTAGCAGACCATTAAGGAGACTCACACATTGTGTTATGAAGGCTCCAATACAGTCTTAGCAAATAAATGTGGATTGTTACTGTGAAATCTTTGAAAATTATAGCTCTCCTGGAATTACTCTATTTGCTGTGTCAGGGAAAATAAGGACAGAAAAAGCAACTCGATAAACGTTTGGTGAACAGTTTTGATACTGTCAGTATTGCAGATGTACTGAAAGTGACAAACCAAGCAGGAATGCCCTGTTGTGCACTTTGTTACTGACATTCACAGAACACGGAAAAGACTCATATCTTACATGAGTGCTTGTTAGTATTGACAGAATCATGAAAAGGTTAGGTGATGAAATGCTTGCAGCAATAGACCTAAGGTCAGTAGAGTTTTTGTGCATTTCACAGGAAACAAATGTCAGTACAGTCAAAGAAGGGGCACAAAAATTCCCAACTGTGCAAACACGGAAGAAATTCAAAGTAGAAATACTTCAAAAAGTTCCTGTTTGTACAGCCCAGGTTCCATTTTGTTCCCTTGTCACTGATGTTTGTACAGCTCCAAGAATAGTGGAAAGGCAGAGTGCTTTTGGTTTTGACAGATGGCTGACCTGGCAGGTCTCCATTGCCTCAGTTTTATAATCAAACTGCATGCAATTTCCACAGCATCCTGCCTGACAGGGTTCAGTCTGTCTGTAAAAGTGCTAAGTCTTGACTCAGCACCTTATGAATTGAACTGAAGCTTCCTTGTATAGAAATCAGCTTTTACAGTTTGCTGCTGTTTGCTAGAGAACATACACATTGCTGAGCATGTTAAGTACAGCTAGTGTAAATGCAGTTGATGGATCTGCTATTTGATACTCAGCTAACTGCTTAGGTGTAGGTGCAGCATGGAAGTCATAATCTTTGTATGAGCAGTCTGGGTTTGTTAGCAGAAGGCTTCTCTCTGTTAACATTATGTACGTTTACACTGTTAGCTGTTTTCTTACAAATTGTACCTGCAGAAAACTTCTTTAAACAGAGGGAAGGGGGAAAAATAATGGGCTTAACCCTTCCTTTTATACATTGTAAAAGTAAAAATAGATTGTCTAGGTGATACCTAAAGCATCCTAATTGATTAGAGCATTTAACTTAAGCCTAAATTTTGCAGGGTTTTAATGAGCAAACTTTTGCAGGGCAGGCTGAAGTGTTCTAAGCATGTGTAGTTGTGTGTGTGCAATTGTCTGCAGTCAGTCACCTGGGCATTGGGATCGTGTGCCTCTAACTGCAGTGTGAGTGAAGTATCTGCATCCGTCAACTCGAGTCCTGTTTGTAGGAGTACAAAGCACTCAGTTTCTGTTGACTTCAGTATGGACTGAAGCATCTGTGCTGTGCTTTGTTGGACTGCCGAAAGTTGAATTTTGTAGGACTTTCAGTAAATGTCTGCACCATACATGAAAATGTGAATTTTGCTGGAAATGTTGAGTCCTGCTTCAAAAAGTGACTTGAAATTTGAGATTTCATGCCATCAGTGTTTTTGTTATTTGTAAAAATGGTGCTTCTAGAACATGAGTAATTTAGAAAAAGCTATTCTCCAGCTTTTAATTTTTACTGATTATAATTTCCATTGTAAAAGATGCTGTAAAATTACTTAATACTTCAGATAATTATTATTTTTTTTTCTGTCAAATGAGATTTTACATATTGTATGATGTGCAAAGTCAAAGCAATAACTTGACGATAAACTATTTCTTTCAGGTAGAAGCTCTTAATAAAATGAAGACTTTAAACAGCCTAATTAAGCTGAATGCCATGAAACAAAGCAAAGCAAAAGGAAAAGATGCAATGCACACATGTTTGAAACAAAATGCTTACAGAGAAGCACTCTCTGACCTCCAGTCTCCTCTGAATCCTTCTGTTATACTTTCAGAACTGCAGTAAGTAAAGGATGAGTGAATGGTGTTGCACAGTAGATTTTGATTGGAAATGCCCAAGTAGAAACGCCTGTTGCTTGAGCTTCCTTTGTGCTGTAAGCAGCTATGCTGTCACAGGGAGCACTTGCTGCAGGGAGAGCAGGTCTGTTGGCAGTCTTCCTGCGCTCAAAGAGCAGTTAGCTTGAAGATGTTTTGTGGTCCACCATGTGGCTTAGTACTCTTAGTCAATGTATTACATAGCTAAACATTTTAAAATATAAGCCTAAATGTGAATTAGACTGTGTTCTTGACTTCTGCTTGTGACAGTAAGCACAAAAGTGTGATTAAAATATTTGACAGCACTTAAATGGGAAGTCTAGAAATGAGTAGGAAGATACAGAGAAGACATTTTCTGTGTAAATGTAAGTCTTAATTTAGATGTGTGTGTGCTGTTCATGGCGTCCAGTGTAGTCAGTGTGTAACAGACACATCCATATTTGGTACACACAGCAAGTAGTAGAGAGAAAGCTGAGGTAGCATTTAAGCACTTCCTAATTGGAAGTCTACATCTTCTACTGTTTCAAACAGTGTTCAGTTCTGTTCAGCTGAATTATTTTTGGTGGACTATAACATCTGTCATATTTTCTTCCAGTGTTGAGAAGTGCAAGTACATGGATTCTAAAATGAAGCCTCTATGGATAGTGTACAACAATAAGATGTTTGGAGGAGATCTTGTAGGCATCATCTTTAAAAACGGTGATGGTAAGCAGTGCTGAGCACTTGCAATTTTTCTTTCTTCATTATTCTCACACTTGCACTGAAGCTGTGCTGCTTTGTATTTACCAGAATTTAACAGGGTTTACTGCAGCATCAATAAGCAAATTAAGCATCTTCTTCTGACTAGTTTTCCAATGACAGATTTTGCCAATCACGATGGTACAATCCCGATCAACCCCTCTTTAACATTTAGTATTGATGAGGATTTGTAGATAGCTTTTTCTCAAAGTCTTATGAACGTTAGAGGTTTGTCTCCAACACACTGAGAAACTGAGGCAGCAGTTCCAACCTTCCATTACAGATCTCCGACAGGACATGCTGACTCTCCAGATTTTACGTTTGATGGATGTACTTTGGAAGGAGGCTGGCCTGGATCTCCGGTAAGGAACTCTTGTGGGCTGGTTTATATGGATGGGGAGTCCACTCTTACCAGTAAAACTTTCCTGTTTAGTTGCTTTCCCTACCATAGTCTTTCTGAATGTCTGTGTTAGTGCCAAAGGTTTCAGTTGTCATAGCCAAGGTGAACGGGCTGTAGGAGGCACTCGCCTTACCCACAGAGATGACTTCTCTGCAGTTTTTTCCTGAGATGGCCCACATTACCAAGTAATTTCTCCATGAAATGAAATGCAAGAAGGGAAGTAAAACACAGCATTTTAACTTACTGTCAAGCAGGGTATTTGACCTGGTACACTGCATCTCTCACGGTGTATCTGAGTTGCCATGCTGATTGTAAATCGCAATGTTCATGTTGACAAAAAGCACTGCGTGAGGTGAGAAAACAGTTCTTCAATAAGGGCTCCAGCAACCAGGTTCTGTGTCTTTTTATTGCTTGGTAGGTTGCTTTTGATGTTTGTTCTGTTTGTCTGTTTTCTCATGTAACAAACATGTCTATTAACTGTCATTGATTTGGGAGTGTAAGTAAAAATGGGGATTCACTTAGTGATTTGTGGGAATCAGAACTTCTAGGTTCTAATACACATATACAAATGAAGGAAAAATATTTTGCAGCTTCCTCAATATTTCTTCTCCAAATTGTACATTTTGATGCCATTTCAGTTTGCAATTCTAAGTTAAAATGTAAAAATTGGTGGAAAATAAGCAACATTTTGTGCTAAAGCTTCTATTTCTGCTTGCAGGTCTTGTGGATACCTTTAATGTGCATTCTGGAGTTTCACATTGTGTTTTAGCAAGAAAAGAATGTTATTCAGGTGTCAAAAAAATTCAGAATAGAATTATCTTTTTATCTTAAAGTCTCCTGCAGTGTTCTTACCTTCATATAATTGGTAGGATAAGCACGACTTCTTTATCAGAATACTAGAGGATTCCAATGAGGAAAAGTACTTAAATATTATTTGAAAGACTTCAGTTTTGGATTCTTTATGCTCAGCTTTTCAAATCTTGTGGTTCAAGCATTAGTGTGAGTTTTGTAAGGTGTATAACATCTGCCCATACAAATACTAAAATTAGAAACTTAACAGTCAGGAAAATATGCTACTTATGGAGAGATTCCTTGGAGTGAAGCATGGGATAAAAGGGGAAAGTGAATAATAAATTGTTTCTGGAAGTCTGTGTTTGCTGTGAGATTGCTGAGTGTGAGTTAAATTGAACGCTGAAACTTTAGATAATCGATGTCATAAATACACTGTGAGGAGGCAGCATTAAGGGCAAGGAGAATGTCTGGCAGCTGTGCAATCCCATATGAGGCATACTTCACTTGATGCTTTCACAGAAGCTTCGTTTGGGGTTCCAGGCAGGGCCACACAGCATGCAAAGCAAACAGGAATCAGCATCAGGAGTCATTCCTGACCAAGGCTTTTTTTTTTTTTTTTTTTTTTTAAACCTCAAAAAATGTGGCTCTGATGTCCAAAGATTTGTCTTAAAACTCTCAGGAAAAAAAAATGTAGAAAAGGGAAATTCCAGGAGGAACTGAAGTTCTATAATTGGCCTCTTCCATTTATTTACATAACTGAGAGCATCTTCCTTCCATTCACCCTTTTTTTTTTAGTTCTGATTATGAAATAAAATTCTGGGATCGAGGCAGGGTTACAGTTCTGTATCTATCAAAGAGGTATTAGCCAGCATTTGCCAAGGAAGGGCACTAAAGTGACCTTAACTGGCAAAGGATTGGCTAAAACAGCTCTCTAACACCAAGAGGATGAGGATGTAGTTCAGAGAACACTCTGTGATCCTTAGTCTTTGTTTGCAGTCTGCATGCCTCCTGAGAAGAGGCAACTCCAAACTCTATGAATGAGTAGCAGCAGGAAGAGGTTTTGTTGCCCTGTTAGTGAGTCAGGCTTGTTTGTTGGCTTGCCTCTCACTGCTGGCATTAGGAGACATCTGTAACAGGAGAAAAAGTGGTGTCGCCTACTTCTGATTTTCTGAAAATACAGTTCATACATCAGTGCCAAAAAACGCAGTCTTTTTTTCTTGCTCTTTATCATCCTTTGAGGTTTAAGTTTCCCTCAAGCTGCAGCTTCCTTTTTTCTTTTGTGGATGCACAGTCAATTTTGCACTTTCAACATTTTCCACTGCAGAGTGTTTGATAATTCAAGTAAAAGCAAGGCTTCCAACATCAGTGCACAAATGCTGCTTGCTTTTCCTCCTGGGGAAGTAACTCCCAATCTAGAATATGTTGGTACGTCAGAATGCGTGGCTTCTGTGAAGCATGGATCAAATGGCAAACACTGTGCTGCCACTGAGGTGCTGGGGGCAGCATCGCTTTCTGGTACATGCACTGCAGTCCCTAATCAGTCATTAGGAATATAAAATGAAACCTTGGCTCTACCTGTGTCTTTCACTAGAAGTGTGAAGCAAGCACAATATCGCCATGTGATTTCTCTGCTCTGCAGAGGGGCAGCGTGTGTGGGTTTTGAGATCTGCAAAGGTGAACAGGAACTTTTTGGGGTTTTTTTTTCCTGTTTGTTTTTCACTGTCAGCTATTTTGTCTCCTGGGTAAACTGGCCTCTTGCACACATGGTGTGTTCTGTTGTTTAGGTTCCTGTGTGTGCATTCTGACCAAATGTTGGAACCAGACCAGGGTTTGTATCAGAAAAGGAAGTGTGCGTGTGCAGCAGGATGCAGCAGTGTTCTCTGTTAGTTCCTTCGTCCTGGGCTGTCACTGGGTGCCTTGTAGAGTGCCCAATTGAACAGAGCTGAAGGTGCCTCTGCTTTTCAGTACAGATCCAACCGTTAGACAGCAGAGACCAGCAGCAAAGGTGAATGCTACTCTGTTATTTGGAGAAGTCTGACTCTGAGTTCTCCTTAGATATCAGTCACTCCAGTGCAGAGAGTAATTAGAAAACAAAAAAGCATATTCTTTAATTAATCTGCCTACTTTAAGCAAACAAAAGCCTTACCTATTCACTTCTGAAACAAATTGTTACCAGAACACTGAGCTGGAAATAGCATGCTATGGGATCTGCAGTGTGGCAGCTCTAATGAGAGCAAGTTTCACCAAAAGGTGTTTCTGTGGCTTTACCTGTACTGCAGCATTGCATTTGTGCTAGGGGAGAAATTAGTAAGGTCACAGAACAGCAGAAAGTCCTAAATTTGAGGACTTTGATCTTTGTTGATGAATCTTTAATGTGGTAAATTGTCTCAGAAGTATTTAGTATGGAGTTACTTTTTGGACTGGTATGGGGTGTTGCAAAAAGGTGTGTGAAATCTCACGTTAAGTGGCTTTGTTTGAATGAAAGGTTCATAAAACCACTGAAAAAATTATTTTTGACAAGTTTAAAGCTGATCATTGTTTTGAAATTAGACCTGAAGTTACAGAGAATATTTTCATAAAGTACCAGAATTTGGGGTTTTATTGAGGAAGAATTAGATTATTGAAATAAAGAACAGTATTAACAGTTTTCCCCCTTCATTTATGTTGATGTTTGAGAAAATGAAGAAAGAGAAAAAATATCTGTCCTGCCCAGAACTGCTGCACTGATCTGTCAGTGCTCTTCACATGGTGTTAAAAAAGCAGGGCGCATATCCTGCTGACAGATGGTGAAGTCATGAGGACTGGGCTGAGATGGAAAAGGCTGAGCGCATTTGTCCCTAACTTGACTCCTGTCAAAGTGTCTCTCTGACAAGGATGTTTTTTCCTCCAGTTGTAAGCAAAGAGTCCTCAAGGGGCTGAAGGCTTTCATCATTGCTTGCTTTTGAAGGGGAAGTTGTTGGACGTGTGCCCAGTGAAGCTGCAAGTGGGGTGGGTTGAAATACCATGGAAGAGGGCCAGCGTGCACTTTAACCTGGCAATGCTTGGCTTACGTTTGTCATGTCATGATAAGGATGGGCAGTGCTTCCTTGTGTCATGCACGCTGGCTTTCAGTGATTACAGATACGCTTCTGTTCATTGTGAGAACCCTCTGGCCTAGAGTTGGGATTTTTCATTTAATACTTTAGAATAGTAATGGAATGAAGTTTCCAAATCTGCGTTTCTTACTTTGATTTGAAGTTGGATGTTCTCTAAATGGCCTTCTGAATCTCGTCTTCTGTTCACTTTGTTGCCAGTGGAAAAGAGCACCCAACTATGTGGGTCTTAGCACTTAGAGCCCTTCAAATGTGCGTTATTGCTGTAGTAGAGAAACTTCTATCTAACAGCTCTTATGCCAAGAAGCTCCATTTAATTTTGCCTGGGGTTTTATTTATTTTTCTTCTGTGGCTTCAGATAATAGTCTGTCTCACACAAGAGGTACAGTTCTGCTTTGTAGAAATCAGGATTAGTAACTTTTGCTTGTAAATGCAAATGATGCATCCACCAGCAAAGCTTTGTCTTTCTATCTGCACACCCCCACAAATTTTATGTCCTGCACATTTTTATACAGCTGTGTAAGTTAGTGCATACTACTTACTAATTGTGCACTGCAATTAGATTTGCATGAGTATATGTTTTTAATACAAGGATGAGCAGAATTGAGAGAACATTTGTGATCTGAGATGGCTGAAATGAGAGTAGGCACCTCTACTTGTGATGCTGTGTTTTTGGAGACAGCAGTTGTGATGGCTTCACTCCTCTACAATAAAAGAAATGCTTTGGAAAAATGCACTTACATATTTAGACATATCTCCCCTTGATTCAGATGTTTGTCCATGTCTTACTTTAATGCAGTGGTGCTGTTGATACTTGTACTCGACAGTGTGTAAATGCACAGCAGTATTCTTATGTATCAGGTGAATTGGAAGATATACTCCTGTTTTCCATTATTTTTCTAGCTTAAGCCTAGAAATTAATGGGAGATGAAAAATATTATTTCATTTCTGTGCTTGAAAAGGGGCTTTCTAGCGTTTCAAGTTGAAACAGGAAAAATAGGGAAAAAAGTCCATTGTTTCTATTTACACAAATAACCTACAGTACAGAATGAACTTCAGAGTGTAAATCTGATGGGCCACTTAACCAGGAAACTATCAAATGCAAATAAAGGGCTCCCTCTATAGTTTCTCCTACAAAACTACAGGTAACAGTATTATCTACTGGCAAAATTAAGGTTGTGGTTAACTTCTTCTGTATGCGTACATGCAGTAGGAAAAATGAATGTTTAAATGAATTGCTGTTATTTTAAATTTGCAAAGCCAAACTGTATACTAACTTCCAACAATATAATGTTCAAATTAAATCAACATTCAGCCCTGTGAAAATATTCACATAGCAAAGAAGCGTTCTTGCTCTATTTGGTGTTAACGTTGATCTTTGCTTTGTTTCAGGATATTGCCGTACGGCTGTTTGGCAACTGGAGATCATTCAGGCCTTATTGAGGCTGTTTCCAGTTCAGAAACCATTGCTGACATTCAGTTAAATAGTAGCAATGTTGCCGCCGCCGCTGCCTTCAACAAAGATGCTCTCTTAAACTGGCTGAAGGAATACAATTTAGGGTAACTTCTACAATTGTTTTCTCATCTGTAGTGTAACCTACAAAATTCCTGCAGGTCTGTGTTTCAGTGTTCAGGAATGTGTGTCTGTGCTGGCAGGCGCATCGCTTTCTTTCTTCAGTCTGTCAGATTCTGACTCAGCTTCAGGTTGCCCTTGGAAATCAGACAGTGGTCCAGCAGAACTTCTGACATTTGCAGCACTGTGATTTCACGTTGTTGAAGATGCACTAAATTAGACCAAACAAACAGGAAGTAAAACAAAAAAAGCCAAACAAACAACATGGGTCTCAAATCTGGGAGCTATTGCCACAGTTGGATTTCTCTAGTTTTTCATACCTAGTTTTTACAGTGTTTTCTCTCAATTAAATCTGATTTAGCAGTATTGTAAGGGAATTTTCTTTATCAAACCAAAAGTTCTTGTTCGTGTCGAGTCACGGTATGAATTGTCAGTACAGTACACTGATACTAATTGTTTTTGTATTTCTAGAGATGACTTGGACCGAGCCATTGAAGAATTCACTCTGTCTTGTGCTGGCTACTGTGTAGCTACTTACGTGCTGGGGATTGGTGACAGGCACAGTGACAATATAATGGTCAGAAAAAACGGTCAGGTAAAAATCTTTTCTGTAGGCAGAACTACAGCAGCTGTATGGGAATCTCTGTGAGAACTTCCAGTTTCTTTTGTGCATCAGTAGGATTAGATCTGAAAGTCGCGAGGTTTCTTTGTTTACTGAAAATCGGAGAGAGCAATTTTAATTTAAAGAAAGGTTGAAATGTAAGAGGAGTGGAAGGAGCAAGCACTGCTTGCTTTATGAGCAGCTGTTTCCCAAGTGAGGCTGTTGTACAGATGTTTCTCAGAGCCCCTGAAAGGCCCGTTAATGGTCCAGAGTCACGGAACAAAAGCTCCTTTCAGAGCATCTTGCAAAATACCATCTTTTAGAAATGCACAAAGTATAGTTTTGAGCTGTGTCGTCTTCCTGAATTTAATGTCTACAGATCAGAATCTTGAAAACAAGCTAGAGGTTGTCTTTTCCACATCGGTTTGTATTAGTGTCAATTGATAAATCAGTCTTGACACATTGTAAGATGAAGTACTCCAGGCATACTCCAGTATGATATGAGGAGTAACAGCATGAGTTAACTATTCTTGGTAGCAGCATCCTGTAGAGGTATTAGAAAAACTAATTATTTTGTTGGAGGAATTAATTTTTTTTATTGTTATTTTTTAGCTCTTTCATATAGATTTTGGGCATATTCTTGGAAACTTCAAGTCCAAGTTTGGAATTAAAAGGGAAAGGGTGCCTTTCATACTTACCTATGATTTCATTCATGTTATTCAACAAGGGAAAACAGGGAACACTGAAAAATTTGGTCGGTGAGTATTATTTGAATCTCATCCCTTTATAACTGAGATGATCTCTGGTGACAGTTTGCAATGCAGCAGCATCTTGTGCAGTTCCTTTTGCTAATCTTTTCATGTGTGGAACCTAGCTAATGTGTTTGTTACAACCTGCTTCTCTGCTTGAGCTAGAATTTATATACAGACTACTTTGTACATTAGAAACTGCAGTGGAAAGATACAGTTCCTTTTTATCTCCTCCAGCAGGTGATGCAGGAGGTGGCATCTTCTCCTGTGATGGTTCTGTTGTTTTTGTTGTGTCTTCCCTTAAGCCTTCAGCAGCACACGAGGCGCTAGGGAGTGACTCCACAGACTGTTGTTGGACAGGATGAATGCTGTTCTTGAAGAACAGGTTTCCTTCTGCCCTTTCTATCCATCACTGCACATTGTGTGCTAATTAGTCATGGCCTTATTTTGGTGCTTAGGTATATATGTTTTTGCATGCCCTTCCCATCTTGGGTTAGAGAGTTGCAATGGAAGACAAAGGTATGTGATAAGGGAGAGCTCCCCTCTTAGCTCCTATTTACTGAGGAAAATTTTTCTTTTCCCTTTCTGTATCCTTCCCACCAACTGACAGGATGGTCATTCTGCATGTTTTGCTCTCCCTGCTGTCAGTTTTCCCAGGAAGCGTTTATTGGCACAGATATAAAATTAGGCATTTAGATATGGCTTGACAAATTCTGTGGCTATTTCTGGAAGCAGAAGGTGTATGTGTATTAGGAGAAATGGCAAATAGCTGCCATTTCTCTCCTGGACAGTAATAAAATGAACCTGCAGCTCTGTTTTAAAAAGCACGAAATAAAGGTGACTGTGCTGCCACAAGAGCTGTAGAATATGGAGTAGTTTATACAGCAGTAGGATTCCACTTGAAAGATGCCTCAAAAAATAATTTGTTTTTCTTTCAAGTGTAACTTCTTAGTCTGAAGGAGTCTAGCCCTCATGGAAATCTGCAGATTGGACAGTAGGCATAATGCAGTGACACACTGAGGGAACTGAGCAAGTTTTGAAATGAGAGATCCTGATGCCAGCTTTAGCAGCCAGTTCAGTTATGATGATGTTAGCAGGAAGGAATTACTTCACAGGGGTAGGTAGGATTGGAAGAGAGTGCTTTAGTGCCTTTGGTTTCAATCACAGATCCACTGTGTGTCATCATCAGGGCATTTATCATAAGAAATTATCAGAGAGATGGGACAGTGACATTTATGTTGTTTGTTTGTTTTGCCTTTCTGAAGAACTGTGTCTGTTGTAAAGCTTTTAGTCTTTTCTAACAAGGTTTTAAGGACAGGTTAGAGAGGTATAGGTTGTGAGAATGCGGTGGAGCTTCTATAGACTCAGTGCAGTTCCCTACAACTGCTGATTGCCTTTTCTATTACTGTGTTCCCCAGATACACATTTTAGTCCAGATAACAATTTTTGGAGATGATTACCTATTTGTCACCTGTGTGGGTTCTCATGTGTTGCATTCATTGCACGTGTTTTTTGGTTGAATATAAAGGTTCCGCCAGTACTGTGAGGAAGCATACCTGATTCTGCGAAAGCATGGAAACCTATTTATTACCCTTTTTGCACTGATGCTAACTGCAGGGCTTCCGGAGCTAACCTCTGTCAAGGACATCCAGTATCTCAAGGTAAAATTGAGATTTACAGCTCAGCATGATTTTAGTGTTATTCTAGAATGTGAATTTTGGTTCTAAGATGTACAATTTTTAATTTATTTCAATTTATTTCAAGATTTCCACGAAGTTTGCAAAGATTCGTTTTTACCTATGTAGAATAAGATACACATTCCTTCTGGGGGCTAAAAGGAAGTGATGAATATTTGTCCCTCCCAACCATTGTGTGATGAGTTTGGTATTCCTCCATCTTACATCTTACATGCAGCCATTTCAGCGGTGTTTGCCTCTTGGCTCATTGCACAAGCACAGACCTGTAAAGGTGACATTTATTTGCTTAATTCTTTTCTTAGTTTTACCTTTAAACTCGGAAAATATCATGGATATATTGCAAAACGAATAATAGGTGAAAATTTGTCAAAATAGGAAAGAGCAGAACGTGGTTTGTGTTAAGAGCTGATGAACGTAACTGTGGATTTTAAAATTTGCAGTAATGCTGATGTGGATTGGTTTGGTTTGGTTTTCCTGTCCCAGGATTCCCTTGCCTTGGGAAAGAGTGAGGAAGAAGCACTGAAACAATTCAAGCAAAAGTTCGATGAAGCACTCCGGGAAAGTTGGACTACTAAAGTGAACTGGATGGCTCACACTGTTCGCAAGGATTACAGATCCTAGAAGAGTTTTGGATTTGCACTAAGCTGAATGTTACCTTGATAAGTGTTTTTAAATGGGATCTGTAGTATGGACCAATAAAACTTACTTTAAATAAGAAAACACGTCAACAACAAAAAGAAACGGGCTGAAATAATTCCTGATTCTTTTGCACTCTGCTTCTGAATGCCTGATCCCAAGACTGTCTCCACAAACAGTGACCAAGCTGGATAATCAGTTCCTGCTGACTTTGCACGCTGAGAGCTACTAGGCATTTTTAAATATCCTTTGGTACTTTATGGAGGTGTAAATATTTGTTTTATGCGTTAGGGTAATGTACTCTAACATGCTCAGGAGGTTTGAAGACCTCTAAAAGAACTGTTTTTTGTTTTAAAATTGGGACTTGAAGAGTCAAATTTTCTTTATTCTAATCTAGCTAAAAATGACCGTGTGTATATATTTTTCATATGAATTCTGCCATACTGGCAAAGATGCATTAATTCTACTGTAAATAGCAACCACAGTATCATTGTACTACAGGAAGCTGCTTAATGTCTTATACTGCTGCCAAAAGATGAGCACCAGGTATTTGTAAGGTTTCTTGCAGAGTGATGAGGGAGGCAGAGACCTCTGAAATGTTGCAGCATCCGGATAGTCATGGTTGCACGGTTTTGTTGTCCTGATGCAGGACACACAAAGAAGTCTTTCAGAAAGAGGGAAGGCTGATTTGAAATATGACTGAAACCCCCCTGGAGAGTAGCCTCCCATTCAGCTCCTGGGGGTTTTCTGCTCCCTAGGAGATGCGTTCAGTTCAGCTTCAACAAGAAGCTCCTTACAGCCCTTCATTGAAACTCTTACGTCAGGTTACTCGTGCCATGCAGATGTGCTGTCTTATAAACACGGATGGAAAATTGTAATACGTATCATACACAGTGTTTTTTAGAGCATAAATACCAAAAGAAACCAAATTTTTTTGAAAGTGAGTGAGTGTGGGAATAGACAATTCCGTAGAACACCAATGAGAGGTCATTAATCTTTTCTGTATTTATTGAATCTTGCAGTAATGTTGCTGTACCAAGATATCTGTGTTGAAGATGTTTTCTGAAGAAACTGGATTTGTTTTAATTTATTTAGTGAGGTACCAGGCTTTTAGGTGCTTAAATGGAGAGCAAATTTGTGACGTGCAATAGGAACTGCTGGTTAAAAGATGTACCATACTGTTTCTGAACATCAGCAAGATAGACTTTAACTACTGCTTGTTCTCCAAAGAACGCTGGTAGCTCTCAATTCTTGTTGACATTTGAAAGAAAATTAAAACATATATTTACTTTTTGGCTAAATTGTTGTTTTACTTAGAAATGTTTTATGTAGGAATTTAATTAAAAGTGGTTTTACTTTGTTGAGAGTGGGGTTGTTTTTTTTTTTTTTCATTGTTCTGTTTTTTTGGTGTGGGCCTTCTAAAAGGTTAAGGACCTGTCTGGGGCCAGGATATCATTTTAGGTACTGATTTTATTCTCTTGCCCTAACTCTTGGGGCTAATCTGGCTCACAAGATCTCTGCTTCTAGAATGTTGTAGAAGTAACAAAAGCATTGTCATTATGTGTTTATTGATGTTGTAGAAGCAGACGGAAGTGTTAGAAAGAAACTACTCTTCAACTGCTGAAAGAAGTGATTTCATCCTCAGCTAATTCACAGTGTGAACATTTGTGTAAGCAGTAATTCCTAGACATGTTACATTTGTCTGCGAGGTGGAGCACCCAGAGGTCTCTGATATGTCTCTCTGGTACATTGTGTTCAGGGACACAGCTTTTCTCAGAACTTGAGATACAGTTGGCCACCTTGACTTCTTGGGGCTGGTGAGCAAGGCAGATACCAGGAGGGAGCATGATTGAATGGTTGCACCCATAACTAGCAGTGCTGGTGAGATCCAAGTTCCTCCACAGGCTTCTTGTGAGACTTGGAACAAGTCAGCCAAACCTTTGGAAGGGATGTAGTTGTGTGCTGCTGAAAAACTAATTGTAAGCTGTGAGTTCTGCTATAAAACACTGTCAGTGCAGGTTGTTGCATGTTATTTGCTTTTCTCCAAGTCTGCTTCTAATCTGATCCACACATTTCCACCAGGAAGGTGACTGCTTCTAAATGAGTCCTGCTTCCCAAGTCCCTCATCGGTACTGGCAGAGGAGAGATAGCTATGCACTGCTTTTAGAAACAGCTGAATCTGGGTGTGTGCTCCATGTATAATGTATCTATTAGTTCTGGTTTTTATTTTGATTGTATGATTTGCCTTTACCTTGTATTATGTGATTTGTGACAAATGGTGGCAAATGCTGCTCTTACATTCTGCTTGTCTTATTTTTGCTTTCCAAGCAAAGAGCTCCCATGAAGTTGTCCCTCACCAGTAGAGCTGCTTCCTTTTTCTTTTATGCTTGTATCAGTTTTAAGTGACAGTGGTGCACTGGTATGATAGTTCAATTGTTCACATTCTAGTGAATGCCTTCGACAGAGCCTATTTGTATATGGAGTACATACAGTCCAGTATTCCTCTTTAATTTCCCAAAGCTGTTGAAATGAGATAATTAAATTGTATGGGCTCTCAGTAATTAAGATGCCAGGCTAAGATCATGGTTTTATTTCCTAGGAATGACTCCAATCCTAAATCTTTTAAGCATGTAGTCATATTTCTATTACTGTTCCTTCAAAATACATTGTATTGATATTATATGTGTCTCAGCTGGCTTTAACTTCGATACCGAAATCCCGTGTTCACATCATGCACTCCTGCTTCTGGCAAGATTTTTAAAACATTTGAAATTTAAAATTAAAAATAAAAACATCTGGTGTATTAGTGCTGAGAGATTAGGAAATAGAGCTGTCTTGATGGCAAGCACTCTTCACCAGGTGCTGTTGTACGAGTTGGAAGTGCTGCACTGCTGCTGGAGTGCAACATTTTACATATGGCTTTGTATTATTTGTGGGCTGGCTCAATAGTTGGGTGTCAGACTAATTTCAAGGTAGTGGTATTTTTATTTCACTGTCTTTTATTGTATTCCTGACCATAGTACCACACTAACTACTCCACTGTCTCATCTATTGCAAAACTTTTGCTTGTGACATGTTTGTCTGCAGCTGACTGTTGGTTGATGTAGTCAGGATGTGAGGTGTTAGTAGTGAAATTATTCCTGCAACTGGAATATCTATGCAAATCAATCATGGGAAGATCATAACAGATAAAATCCCAAGGGATTTAAATAGACATAGGAACTGCTGATGCTTCATATTTTTGGCGTATCAGTTCAGAGAGCTAGCTTTGCCTTTCCATAGAATTTAGTTGTGGTCACATGGAGTTTAGATCACATGGATATGTGAGCTTCCTCTGACAGCTTCTGTGGGAACAGCAGAACCTGTAGCCCACGTGGGGTATTGGGGAACACAGCTAATTCTCAGTTAGTGCAAGGACTGAGGAGCCAGCAGAGCTGTTTTCTAACATTCCCATGAGGACACTGAAGACTTTTTAGCTGAAGTCTGAGTGAGCAGAAGGAATAAATGTGGTCTCAGGAATATGCAATTGCAAGCAGATATGTGAAGCAGATTTTGGTAGCTTACCCAGGAAGAGTGCAGTAATTTTAACAGCTAATGATACTGAGAAAATCTGAGTAGCGTGCTGCTCATCCTTCCTCAATGCATAATAGAAATCTTGTAGTTGTTCTTTTTGAGTGTGACTTCCTGACGTACGTGCTCTGCCACTGCTGCCCAGGGAGTTCAGTCATTTTAGTAGCTGTTCCTCAAATGCTGTGGCAAAATAGCATTTACTGCTGACCAAGTGAGAAGACAAGAAAACTTTTTTTCCTTAATGAGATGGATTTGCGTGCTACTGTTATGTGATGCCTTTCCAGCCACATTAGCCTACATGGGGAACTGCATCACCACTGTCTGCCCTCTGGTAAACCACAAGGGAAGATGTTGCCAGTCAGATGCTGACACAACCTTACCTGCTGTGTCATTTCCAGAACATCTGTCTAAAGGCTCAACTGCATTACTTGTTTTAACAAGTTTTACTACATTGGATCAGATTTTAAATGATGTTGTGATGAGTCAGTCCTTCATCCTTTCAGCCTGTCACTTTGCTTTTCCTCAGGTGATTATGTTGAAGTTTTCCCTGGGTTTGCTTGATGAAGTGGGATGGGGATTCATTTATATTCCTTGAGTAGTTGTATGGCTGGAACGTCTGTGAAGGATCACACTTCAAGAATTTTAAAAATAGTGATCACAGAGAAGCATAAAAGATTAATTCTGATTTGCCAGGCATCATCTGGCTTTTATGAAGCAAATGAGTGGAAGCAACAACTGAGCACCATGGAAACGTGGTTTCCAAGGGATTACAGCTCTCTGTAGTGTAAGGATGTATGCAAGATCTGATTTTTTGTCTGGGATTTCTACAGCTCTTTCTTCTGGGAGCACCTCTATCCACTGAAGTCCAGGGAGAAGTGAGGAACTGGAGTGGTTTGTTCTTGTTTGTGAATCCTGCCTTTATCCCACCTTAAATGGAGGTTTGCTCCTTTGTCTTTCAAGCTTTGCTCAGTGAGCAAGCTCTGGATGCACATTCTGATGTGACCATTGTACAACACAGCCCGAGCAGCTCATTCTAATTCCTGAAGTTGTTTCTTTACCTCCTTTGCATAAGGAATATGGAACCTTTACCTCGCGTATCACAGAGGCTGCTGAGCACTATTGCTCAGGAGTGTGGGAAAGATGTTTCCATGGCTATGAATTTCTTCTGTAGAAGCAGGTTTTCATGGGGCAACAGGGTGAATAGCCAACAATATTAGAATAGATGACAGCAGGGCTAATAGTGCTCCTTAGATGAAGAGTGTGGACTCCAGTCCTTGTACCCAACATTGACTGAAATCAAAAGGGAACAACTTTTAAAGGGGATGTGGGGTTGATAGAGAGACTCCTTTCCCCTATGGGCTAGTGACCTGTGAATTTAGGAAGAGGAGTGATGAAGCAGAGGTCCAAACTTTGCACCCCATGTTCTTTTTGCTTGGCTGAATAAAAGGACCCTTAATATTTTGTATTCCTGAGACAAAGTTTGTTTCTTATCAAAGAGCAAAGAATATGTCCTGCATATAGAGTTGGGGCAGTTGGCGTGGGAGGAAAAGAAGCCCATTGCTAGGCTCAGGGGTCATCTGCTACAGAGGTTAATTGTACAGTTAACCTGCATTCCTAAATTCCACAGAGACAAATAGTTCTGTATGGCTGCGCCTTGAAGCCACCCACCATTCAGCATTGTATATTGGCTAGCCAGCTTTCTGATCATCACTGTGAAGGGAATGGACATGGACAGCTTAAGGTGTGGGATTCACTAATAAGCTTAAACTTTGAATGCCAGTGCTGTGATACACAGGCTCCAATACTTTATTTGTGAGTTACTCCTTCTCTTAAGGAGAGGTGCTGAGTCGTAAGTTGGGCATTGAATGCTTGAAGGAAATTAGAATGCAGTTTTTGTGGCCAGGATAGCCTTTAGAAGCTGTCTTTCCCCCATCAAATTACATACCCATGCCAGTTAATTTAAAAATAAGTTTAATATTCCAGACCACAAGTAACACTGAAACATACCTGCACATTACAAACAATTGTAATGTTCTGCATTTAATACTTGCTTTCTCTTTCGCAGCTCAGTGTGATAATCTTGATTCCTTGAGGGGAAAAATAAAACTCTTTGAAGCTGTTTGAAATCATTTCCTGTTCTTAATAGCTGAGACACTTACAGTTCCTGCTCACAGACTTTATACTGGTTAAATGAGTGAATGTGTATCTGCTACATATGGTAAGTATGAACAGCGTCACAGCTGCAGTTGCTGATGCTGCATTCAGATTGTGCAAACTGAGGCTTCAGCCTAAATGGATCCAAGCTTCAGCTTTCTTGATGTAGTCAGGTATCAGCAGGGCACCCACAGCAATTCTTTAATCACCTCTGCATACTTTCTGGCTTTTTGTAATCAGTGTAGTAGAGCTGCCACGTCCTCCTCTGTCGTAGTGATCAAGTAGGCTGTGAGCAATGAAACTGCTTTCTGAATGCAGGGTCTCACATTTTCGGCAGACAAGGATTTCACATTTTGGACACATTTTTCCAGAATGTGGTTGCCTTAAAGAACATATTTCTTCCCGTGCTGGTTTCAGCTTTTTGGAACCTTTCCTGTGTAAGCATCTCTTCTTGTCTTCAAAACTCTGACTCCTTCCCTGAGGGCTGGAACAGTCAGAGGAAAGAAAGGTGACAAGTTTAACCTACATATCTCCTAAATGAGTGACATCCCCAGGAGCAGTTACTGTTGATTTATGAATCCTTACTGAGGTTCTGTGACACACTACGAGCAGGTGCAGTGTATGATCTGCAGAGAACAGGAGTGGGCAGAAAATAGAGAAAACTGGCTCTGGTGTTATGACAGCAGTGACAAGCCATTGTTTCTTTAACACAGAATTATTACAAGGACTGTCCATCACTACTTAAGCAAAAATGTAAAATAAAGAAAAAAACTCAGGTTAGCCAGTTAGATAGGCTCTTCAGTTCTTCAGTATTCACTTCTTCGGTGAGTAATCACGACATGCCCTCGTGCATGAAAACAAATTCCATACAGATATGTGCATCTAAATTAAAGGCTCCTGATGTAATAGACTTCATCGATACTATTGTAAGGGTTATTTTTCTCCTAGCATGCAGAAATAATTATGCTAGCTCATAGACAAGCCCTATCTTGTACTGTCTTTGGATAGAGGTTGAAGGGCTGGAAGAAAAGCAGCTTTGATACACTACATTTTATACAGAATAATACCGTTGAAGGTTAGGGTCATGGTTCATATTCAGCAACAAGAGCTCACAAACCAGTGCTGAATGGCAGAGATCTTCTGATTTAGCTACACCACTGTGAAAGTTGTGTAGGCCCTGATGGCCTGAATCTTTAGAATTACTGCCATGCAATATGTCTGCAAAAAACATCCAGTAAAATCTGAAGACTCTCCATTAATGTGATTAATGTGTTACTGCTTTTTTTAGATAAAACTGGGAAAAAACTGTCACTTTCAAATTACTGTCAAGGCTGCACAGCATGGTTTTACTGCTTACGGTGGTGTCTGCCTCTAGAATGCATGCGTTAGTAGAATCGTGGATAATAAAGGCAATTCAAGCTCTGGTTCACCAACTTCTTGGATCCTTGCACCTTCCAGTGCAGTTCCCCATGAGTGCAACAAGGTAAGCTCCAAAGCAGAGCCCTTGGTATCAATTGTTTGGCAGTTGGACTGATGGAAAGATTCTCTCAAAAGCAAATCTGGCCTGTTTATTTTAATCTTATATCAAGCTTGTAACCAGTTGCTGTGACTGTCAAACTTAATGTAGTTAGCTGAGTAATTGCTGCGACTTGCATGTACTTCCTGCTAAGACAGTAATTTCATGATCATTAGCAAAGACAGACTCTTTTTAGGAGGTCTGCATAGAAAATAGCTTTTGTAATGGATGAGGAAAGTCAGTTTAAGATTCTATCGTGATACATACACTATGTTTATCTCCTGTTAAGGAAAAGTAACATCAAACACAAGGACTCAAGAAGAGAATTTCAAATCTCACAAGCATGATGGAACTATCTCAAATCTAACAGACCACAGAGCAGTAAGCTCTAGGACATTTTGACTCCTTGCTCACACTCTGATAAAAGGAATATTTTTCCATTAGTTGTCTTTTTTTTTAATCCTCCTCCAACAGGCAGCAAGCACAAAGACTCTGTTGTAGGGAAGATATCCCGTAGGACTTGGTAGCTGAAACTTTTCAATGCTGATTTTGGTTGCTGCTGCATTGCCGCTGTTTGTGGCACCCTGCAGCTAGAGTTACTTAACTGGTGCAACAAACCTGTTCTTTCTGGAAATGGCCCTGGGCAGCTAGAATGTATGTGGACACATGAGATACCGCCCCTCCAAAATCTTCTTGATTGAATGGGAAGAGGAGTCATCAGAAATGATTAAAAGAAGAATATGCAGATACACAAAACTTGGAGACCTTACATTCACACACGTCTGTGAGTGGCTTGCTGCTGTTCAGATGAAGTTGTTTAATTAGCCTGTCACAATTTCCTTGTTGGTGAAACTATTAATACAGCAGAACGTACAAAGGTGTTTCGAGGTGCACTGAAAATGTTTATAAATAAATTTCTCATTTGAATAAGTTTACAAAATAGAATCTCAGATGTACTTACAGTTTATTCCTAGGAGACCCAGAGAAGAAACTCAGTCCAGAAAATCTTTTCTTAAATACTCGCTCCCGCTTCTTTCGGTTGTGTTTCCCATCTCCTGTGCTTTCTTCTGTAAGTTCCTTCTTTCCTTTCTGCCAGCTCATTTTATCTGTTGTAACAGCAGCACCTGCTTGGATGAAAGCAGAAGTCTGAATAGCTTTTTGAAATAGCCTCTCCCTTACTGTGTTGCACCTGGCAAATTCTCGCTCTGTTTCTCTACAGACCTGTAAGGTTCCTGGCTATGCGGAAGGCTTAGCAGAGATCAGCCAGCAGATGCTTTCCATCAGATGGAACAAGTGTGAGCTTTGAAAAATCCTGCAGCCACAAGGCAAATTGGCTATTCTTCCTCAACCGCTATTCCACATGATTATGGAAAGGAGGCTTGGGCGTAGAATATAATAAATACTTCCTTTTCCGTGCACTCTTTCATGATTAGGCTCATTGGTGAAAAGCAAGAAAGGAGGAGGAGGCTCATTTGATAAAGGAGCCAGGAGCCAACAAAACGGTTTTGCACAGAGGACAGAAGCAGACAAACAAATGCTGTGAGATGGAACATACACTGCAATGCAAAAACCAGAACCCTGGAAAGATGAAGAACCAACTGGGGATTTTAGTTAAGGCTTGGAAATTGTTTCCTCTTTCTTTTGATGAAGCACTTGATTAGGCTGCATTTCCGCATTGCATTGCTTTGTCTCCAAGAATTATCCCTTCAGCCTCACTGATCAAATTAGTCTCTCTGCTCTACATTTGATACTTAGTAATTGCATTAACTTTTGGTTGCTTGGCTTGGAGGGTACTGTCCACCCTTCTAATGACTGGAAGTGCTCGTCTGTTTCTACCTGTTGTTCAAAATATTTTCCACTACTCTTCCATGGATCTTCCTCTAAAACAAGGCATACAAACTTTGTAGTCTGTATCAAAAACAAAACCAACCATTCTGAACTACATACTTTTCTGATTTTATCCTTTATCCCTTTCATTCCTTGCTCTCAACTACCCACCAAAACCAGATTTTTAAATACAGTGCTCCATAACTAGTTTTTACAGTAGGACAAACACAGAAAATAGGGTCTCAGTGTGCCAGTGCTTTACAAGATCAGTCCCTAAGACTGTTTTTCACTGTCGTGATTATTTACCAAGAATGTATATTGGCCTATTTACAAGAAAAACATAAATTCCTAGAATGAGCAGTAAGCAATACATCTTGCTGTCCTGCTTGGTAATGAGACCCCCAGCTTTCAACAAAACTTAGGTAAGTTGGAACTGTTTCTTCACAAATGGCAGAAAATATTTTTTATGAAGTAAACTAAAATCAGTTCATCGACCTGCACAAGGAAACTGGCAGTAATTGATGAGCGAATGAAAGTTGTGAAGGAAAGAAAACTATCCCCTTCATAATTAAAAGAATGCAGTTTTTGATTTGTATCAGAACAATCCACAAGTTCAAGGCCTGTGTTGGGCATACAGTGGTGTTGAAGTGAAGCCTTGCAGAACAGAGCAGTCTTTGGCAAACAAAAAGCAGCAGCTGGGGAGGCAGGAATCTGTCTTACCTCTAAGAAGTGAGCTTCAAAGGCTTTTGCTGCAGGATCTTTCAGAGCTAATCCCTCTTGTCTAGAAGATCAAGAGAAGAAAATGTAACACTGAAAGTACAGGTGTAACTGTATGAAAATTGGTGGCAAAAAATAGAAGATACACAGAAGGGATCTTTTCTAAAGCCTTTTAGTCAATAATAATAACACGCTGAATAATTTCAATTTCACTCCTTCAAACATGGTATTATTTGGCTGTCTATCCAATGCAACTCTAAGGATGTAGGTGGAATTCTTCTATATTTATTTAAATGTGTTGCTATGTTAGAAGATTTGAATATCCAGAATTTTAATGTCTTGCTTTTATTCCGGGTTTAAATCCTGTGAAACTTGACTACTGTTGCCTTCAATATACTGATTATTTGCCACAACTTTCATATTTAACAACTGCGATAGCCAGTTTTGGCTTTGTTAGCTAAAGTAATCAGTAATAATGTTATCATAGCCAGCCCTGAGATTTACATTTTTATGCAGTCGGTTATTTAACAAGTAGCTCAGTGGCTCTGCAACAGGAATCCTGCTTGAGATCTGGGACACAATTAGTTGGTCTGTAAATCTCAGCTAAACAACAGCGTGCAACACTTCAGGAGTCTCTGTGTTACCTCTGTATGCTGTCTCTGAAAAACAAGGCCTGGTACCTGCTAGACTATCGATGTCAGAACTGATCCACAGTGACACTGCTTTCATTCCTGGACGACTTGAAGAGCAGATTGGCGTCTCTGTGCTATCATATTTATATGATTTCAGGACTAACTGAATTACAGAAGGGGTAAAGAAAAGCAAATTACAAATGACACTGATAATTTTCCCTACCCAGGTCTGGCAGGATGTAGGAAAATCATTTTCCACGAATGGAGCATCTCCACAGCTACCCCTCCAATCGCAGTACACACAGCAGGCTGCAGCCAGATGGTAGATCCTGAGATAAAGAACAGAGCTATAGGTAAAGCTTTGTGGCAGGGACTGTCGGGCAAACATGCAGGGCAAAGGTGCCAGACAGGAAGGCAGGTCAGGAGGGGGGAAATGAAACAACAGCATCTTGGGGAAGATCTCTGTGTCCCCAGGATGCAGCTTTTCTGATCCAGTTCTGTGTCAAGATTGGTTCGAATTCTGACCATATTCTTCCTGTCACCACAGGGTGTCTCTGCATCTCCTCAAACCCTGAAGGCTCTGGCAGCCTTCAACACCAACCTGTGGTCTCTTTCAAGGAGGTGTAGGCCTAAAGGGAAACACCCCCCTCCCCTTAGCAGCGGATTTTCTTCAGGATCACAAGCCTGCTTGGGGTAGAATGGTGATGCCTTTGCTAGTGGGAATTTCTTCATTTGAAGATAAAGCCACAGTACAGTGATGCGCCTCAATTGGCTTTAAGGGCTCCTCCCTACAGGACTGAAACCAGCTGTGGCATCTGATGTGGCACACTGACCTAGATCAAGCTCATTCTGCTGGTGCAGAGTTAGCAAGGTTCGAGGCACTCTCCCTGTACCGACACGCTTTCTGCTAAAGCAGACAATCTCTCTGTGCCCTTTTACCTTTGTGCTCATGTGCTTAGGATAATTTGACAGAAATAAAGTTGTGTGCTTGTACCAGATGTGGATCAAGTTAATTCTAACATCATTAAGGGCAGAACAATAGAAAAACTGAAAAACACTTGAAATACACTAGCTCAACTACTAACAGTTCCCAGTACAGAGACTGATTAAATTTTGTCTACCTACTTGTGTATCTCTTCCCAAGGCCCCATTCTCTTTTCCTGGCAGTAAGTAAATACAATGAGGTCATCATATGCATAGTTATGGAGGTGATGACTGTCCATCAGTGGTCATCAAAAATGCAGGAGCATAACATCTTTGTGTCCTAGAAGATGGAAGTGTTGCTCTTCAGACTTCAGCTTACCTCTCCAACCATTTCTAATATGTTACTTAACTAGTGTTTGTCTTGGAAGTGATCTTACTCAGTAATCTCTTCCCTGAGCACAACTCAGTTTCTGCAACCTTTTTCATGTGAAACTACCTGTGGAAGAAGGAATGGTCCAAATGAGAGTTTTCTTCATGTAAATTTTAAAAAAAAAAAAAAAAGAAAAAAAGAAAATGAATTCAAGGGTTGGAATAAAACTAATGACCTGGACTTTGACTTAGGAAACAGCTGAGCATCGTAATATCTGGGCTGTGTATTGCTGCTGTGGATGTTCTCATATTCCCTGATTATTTTTCTTCTTCCCATGAAAACCTTCAACTTGATAGCAAGCTTAGGAACTGAGGCTGACACTTTGCCCTCCACCTCAGCATTTGCTTGTTGCTTAGAGGAACAGGTCATCTTGTCCTTGGCTTCAAACGTGTAGAAAACACAGATTTAATCTGATCATGCTGTTATACTTTATCCCCAGCAAGCACCCCAAGATCAGGTACCCTGAGATCTGGGGTCTAGATATGTACAAAAGCTCTTAAGCCCTTGCCTTACTTGTGTATATGCTTGCTTCTAAAGGCTCATGGTAGCTCTCCCTGAAATGGAAAGTTTGTGAAGTGTCAGGCCGTGGTGTCTGGTGCGGTGCTTCCATAAGTAAAGCACAACAAACCACCAGTGGGGACAGCAAGGTTAAGTTCCCACTTCTTTTAAAAGAAGTGTTATCTTTGTGTTATCTTTTATCCTCTTTGGCCTTTATGTTGGGTATGGCCTTGGTTCAAGTGCACAGGAGCACGTTCTGCTTCAATGGAAGTTTGGCTGTGTGAGGGAGCTAAAGAAATGCTGACTTTAAAGAAGGAGATTCAAAGTGGAAAGTGGCTGCCACGACCTAGGTTTAGTGGGAGTCAAAGGCTGCAAGAAGCCCGAGGCAGAAGCACACGGGCTTGGCAGCCGATACACTTCATTTCGAAGATCACCGTTAGAAAATAATGGTAGATCCAGTAGCTCGCCTGCCTCTGGTTTTGCTGTACACTGTGAGTAGCGATGACAGACGCTTTCTGTTCACAAGTATTCACTCGTGACAGCGCGGACAGAACTGCGATACCTCTCTGCTGTTTGGTTTTGTTTTGTTTCTAGAAAGGGGAGGAAGGAAGAAGACGGCACAGACAAAGGCGACCTCCTCACACCTGCCGTCGGGGCGAGCCCAGCCCTGGAGCCGCACCCCAGGCTCCTGCTGCTCCCCGCGGGGAGGCGGCGCGGGCGGAGCGGCGGCTGCGTTTCCATGAGTCACTCCAGGACTTTCTGCTGCCTGCCGTGAGGTGGGGAGGGGGTACCTCCGTGCCGACGTCCTACTCCGTGATGTGAGGCACAGGCATGCTCAGTAGCTGGTGCCTACCCCTCCTCTCTCAGCAACGGTGCCTACAACGCTGAGAGACCGCCGGCAGCCGGAGCGGGGCCGGAAAGCCATCTTTACGGGAGCGGAGGCAGCGGCAGTCGGGAGCCATGTGAGTGCCCGCGGCCGCCAGCGGAGAGCAGAGCCGGGCTCTCCCGCGGCCGCCGGTGGGCTCGGTGCCTGCGGGGCGGGAGGGGGCCGGGGCGAGCCGGTGTCTGGAGCCGCCGCAGCCCTTGTGGGTGGCACCCACGCGGCCGCCGGCTCCGGGGCTCGGGGCTGGGCGGACGCGAGCCGGGCAGCGGAGCGCGGGCTGGGGCTGCGAGCGCTGTGCGGGTAGCCGGCAGGCAGCGGGGAGCTAACTCGGGTGAACAGTCGAAACGCTGGGCCGGGATCCTCAACAGGTGCAGGGCTGTTGAACGGTCTGAGTCACTCAGCGGCGCTGAGCCACGGCTGCCGAGTCCTGTTTATTTTCGCCGTTTGATGAAACGCTCTCTCAAATAGTCGCTGGCTGATCCGCTCAGCCGCGCCGCACCCACGACCAGGGGCCCCTGTCTGCACGGCTCGGTGATTATCTGTTGCTTCTCGTTTGTATCCCTTTAAACCTCTTCCAAATCTTTCAGTTCAGCGTTAACAAAGGCAATGCTCTATGCTAGACAGCGATGAAGCCTCCAAAGTCAATTCTTAAATCAGAACCGTGCTTAGTTAAGTAGAAATTGATCTGAACTGTGTTCATTCACAAAAAAAATCTGGTGCCTAAACGCACGATTTTACTATCGTCTCAATTCATTGCTCGTTCGCAGTCACTCCTAAGGGACAGCTGGAGAAGATGTCTAAAACAGTCTCAGGGAGTGCTACACAGCAGAAAGGAGTGTATGGGGGCTGGAAAGCTGTGGACTTAGGTGGTGGTGGGAGATCTTGGGCTCAGCTGATTCATAGAAGAAGTGGAAACAGCCTTGAGTCTACAAGCACACATTTTGGATTGTTGGCTTTTTTCTTAATGCTCTCTTAGACAATAAGCTTTTATCCGTGTTGCCTGAAAGGTTTTCAAGGCAGGGTGCTTGTAAAGGAAATCCTTTATGTAAACACTGAACTTGATCTGGCAAAAAGCTGGTTCACTGTAAGCTTCTGTTGCCTAGTTGTGTTTATATCAAGAGGCAGATGATGACGTCAAATACTTTTGTATGTGAGCTGTTCGTCAGTGATTAATACAAGTGCTTGTTGTTGTGGCGTTACACAATTGAAACTGTTCCAACATGAAGCAATAACTTGGATAACGTTTGTCTTAACCCATGTATATTTCAGTCTTGGGGTATTTAATGTGGTGCTCATGAGGCTTTGTAAATAAAAGCAGAAAAAGTGAGGTGATGCTAGTAGAACTGGGTTGTGCTTGTGTAAGGGACTTGTATCAAATTCTGACAGGAGTTAGATGGGAAAAAGAAAGCAGTTTTTGTCTGTTTTGACAATGTTTCAGTTTGATAACTGAAACAAATCCGAAACAAATAAGCTGCTTGTAATTGGCAGCATCACTGTCAGCTGGCTTCTGTTTCATTGCCAGGTATTGATATGAAGACTTTTTTGTTTTGTTTTGGGAACATCTGCAAGAATATCATGTCCCAGTGGCTTCTGAGTTAGTGATGAACATGAGAGATAAATGTGCACTTAGCGACAGACTTGTAGCCGCAGCAACTTTTGTACTTCACAGGACCATAACAGCTAACTGCTAGTGGCAATTAGAGGTTCTCTCTGCTGTTACTCCTACAGAATGTTGCAAACATGGACACGTTTCCTCCATGTGTGTGTGGATGTGCATTTGAGATAGGATGCTGTGTCTTCAGCTGGTGTGAAGTAGCATCATTAGTTTTTGACAGTGAGGGCAGTGAGGCCCTGGTGCAGGTTGCCCAGAGAGGTGCGTGCTCCATTTCTGGACACATTCAAAGTCAGGATGGACCAGGCTCTGAGCATCCTGATCTGGCTGTAGGTTCGTTGCAGGCGAGTCGGACTACATGGCTTTTAAGGGTGCCTTCTAACTCAAACTGTGATTCAGTACAGAACTCTTCCACTGGGTTGTGGGTATACAGCTGTATTCCCAGAGTTCTTTCCCAGTTTTCAAGGACTTGAGGCTCAGTGAGTTTCTGAACCAGAGGGAGCTTCTTTGTATTTTATGATTCTCAGTGGATTTTGCTGTTATTCTTTCATGAAGGTGTCCAGTTGCTCCATTGGCTGTGTGCAGTAGCAAAGAGCTCCACAACTGAGCTGTGCAGGCTGTGAAAACTGCTTCCTGTTGGTTTTGAGCTAGCAGGTATCAATTTCACTCTGATCTCCTACTCTGACATTGGAAATCAGTGAACAACATTCACCACTTTCTCTGTGGCTCATGATCATGCACTCCAGCAACCTGCACTGCTTTACATCAGGTGAGAATCTGTCCCTGTGGTTTCTGTAGCAGTGGGCAGAATCCAGGGCAGGTGACACACATTCAGCTAACAGGCATCTTTCTCTTTGGTGAAGGCAGAGGGGAAGAAGTTGTGGCATAAAAAGGTTGAATGAAAGAAGAGGGATATAAAAGGGATCTACAGTGAGAATAAAGAAGAGTTGGACCTTGCCCAGTGTAGCTGGAAGGGTTGTTCCAGATGTAAGGAGAAGACAAAAATCTGATTGGAAGAGATATGAGGAGCAGTGAAGAGAGATGAGTAGTCAAAAATGGTGCTCAGATCTGAGGTGCTTATAGGCATTGTTTAGCTCTGGAGAATAAACTAACAGCAGCAGGTGAAGTGCATGGTTTTGTTTCTTTTACAGTGGTCACATCTCAGTAGGTAATCATATCTAATAGAAGCTTATGGCATCATGTCATCTGCTGTTTACAGATAGGTCAGTGACCAGACAGCAGGGTGCCTTTGATTGCATTAGTCCAACATAAGCTCTATTTCAGGGTACTACTTTTTGAGACAAGCAGCGAAACAAAGCACCTGGCTCTCCCCAGGGGAGGACTGCATCACTAGATCTCATTCCTAGGGCAGCAGTTTCTAAAATAAATGAATAAAATCATGCCTGCTTCGAAGCAGCAAGGAGAAGATCCTAGATGAGGCGGCTGGGATTAAAATGCTTCTACCAATGGTGATGAGTATGTTCAGGTAGAATTTCTGTTCAGTTCTTCTGAAAGGAGTGGCATGACTATCTCCTGCTGTAAGGAGAGTTGTACTTAGCCCTCCTTCTGTGGTCACAATTTTATGGAACTCAGCAAAATCTCTCTACCACGCCACTCCTTCATACTGAGCAGCAGAGCCAAACCAATTTAGTGCAGCTCTCTTTGTGATCCCAATCCACTGCATGGGGCGTTCAGCGGGCTGCAAAGTGAGTATGCCCAGTGTTTGTCCTAGGAAATTATAGATGGGATGAATTTTGTAAGTGTGGCAGCACCTCCATGCTGGTAAGTGTCTGCATTCCCCTAGAAACACTTTCCAAAAGAGCTCTGGAAATCCGTGGTGGCAGGAAGATTTTGGTCCCCTGCACTCTCGAGCTTTTGCTTCTTATGGTCAGGTGCCTCAGAATCAGAGAAGCTAGATTGTTTTGGCATTTTCACATACATATATTTCTCTGTACAGTGAGTCAAAGGGTATAATGGTTTTGAGGGTCCTGTAGTATTGATTCATGCAGAGTTCTTCGTGTGCAGCAGTAGAAATAAATGCTTCCAACTCATGTTAGACATTGTTCCTGCTGCATGCACTTGCATTTTGATATAAGGGTGTCCCAAACGGGTTGCAAGTCTTTTGGATATTTAGATGATGAGTGATTGAAAGTGTGGAAAGCAAACTGAATGTTGTCTTGAGGACCTCTGTGAAGGATTAAATGCCAGCATGGAGACAATTGAAAATTATCTGTGAAAAGTACAGGCATAGTGAATATTTTTCACAACAAACATTCTTGAAAATAGGCTAAGTAGGCTAATATGAGTAGGTGAAACCCAAATACATTCAATTCAGTGATCCCTTTCCTTGGAACGTGTTTGAGTTGACCTGCAGGTGGTTTGTGTAGATAGCTGCAGCAGCAGAATAATTTATAGGATACTTGAAGTGGTTTTATTAGAAGCTGAACTAGTCTGCCAAAGGAGCATTTCTCCTTTTTAAATGCTTTTTACTCAATTAAGATACTGCTGAAAAATGGATATTTAGAGCACCAGGCAAATCCATGTTTGTGTATGCAGGTATGTACTGCTCCCAGCAGGAACTGGCGTAGTTCAAGAAAAGAGCTTGGTATTAAGTGTCCTTTTTCCCTTCATTTCACTGCCCTTCAGCCAGGATGCATGGTAGATTCTCACTGACAGCTTTAGCAAAATGTTTATGGTGCCCTGGAAGGGGCAGTACAGACTGTCCCAAATAAGTACAAATGACTGAACAGCTCATCTTAGGCAATTATGACTTACAGAGAATATCCTCTCACCTGCGTCATTCAGTGCTGTGTGCTGTCATTGCTCATGGCCATTACCAGGAATTAACTATGATGGCGTTTTTTAATGATGCAATTGCTTTTTCTCTGTCTGGACTTCACCCCTCTAAACTCATTTTCTTTATCCACTCAGCGGTCAGCAAATGATTGCGTGGGTTTTTTGCTGTTCAGTTATGGAAAATCTTATGTTTTCTTAAAAGGTGGTAACTCATTGAAATAGATCTGTCCATACTTTTGCAAGTGTTTTGTCAGTTTGAATTACATTGTAGATGAAATAATTAGAGTGGAAGTTTCTGACCAAATGATCTGAAATACCTAAGCAAGTACCTTGATCTCTTCAGGTACAAAATTTAATGACAAGTATACAGGGGGAAAAAAAAAAAAAGTCTTCTATTTCAGAGTAAATCAGAGAGAAATTTCTGAAGTGGCAACTCACATCTGCTGGACTCAGTATCACAAGGTCACCTGAAAGGATGATTTTTCAGAACATCAGAACTATTATTTCAATTTCAGTATTTTTTGTTGGTTTGTTTTTCAGTGGTATTTAAATGTAAATCAGTAATCATGTTGAAACCAAGTGTTGGCACCACATATTTATACATCAGAGCTGGGAATTTGCCTGTGTTTTGGAAGCACCAAGTAGCTGACCATTTGTATTTGTGAGGATTCAGTGCCATGAACTTCTCTAGATTTTGTTATTATACAATATGGCAAACAGCCTGTGGGATTGAGACAGCCTTTGCAAGAAGTCAGAGAAATAGAATTGATGGGCAGTGGGAATACACCAGAGGCTGTGATGTGTCCTTGGTCTGGAGTTAAGTAGGAGAGGAAGTATCCACAGTTTACAAACTCCTTACATGATCAACGAAAGAACTGAAGAGAGTATTTCCTGGCAGTCCACAGTGATGAGTGTTGTACTGAACTGCTCTTAGTACGTAATACCGAATATGCTGATTTTCTTTTAAGATGTTCCTATCAGATCAAGGTGGATGTTTATAGGACTGAACTTCAAAATTTTAATCAGAGAATGAAATTGAGAACTTGAACGGCATTAAAAGTGCAGTCATTGCAGGGAAAAGAGTTTTTTTATTTCACATTTCTGCATGTGGGGAAATATTTTACAGAGTTATGAAACAGACTTCTTTGCATTCTTTGAAATGAAGTTGCAAGTTTTGGTTTCTAAATAACCTTTTAAAGCACTGTTACGTGTACGTTTGGGAATGTTGTTTGGAGAACTGTTTTTAGAGATATTAAAAAATCTGACCAGAAGATGTCCCGAGCAACCTGGTCTTGTGGGCCCTGTTTTCAGCTGGACAGAATGACCTCCCCTTCCAACCTCAGCCCTTCCGTGATTCTGTTTGAAAACATCTCTCACAAATGAATATGAATATGTTGAATATTCAAATGAATATGTTGAAGGTAAACATTTGACTGTTTCCAAGCGTTCGAGTTTTCAACTTTTTCATCTGCTATGGATGGAAATTTCAGGTTGAGGGTTAGAAGATGGATTTTGTTGTGTTTCACTAAATTTTAAATTTCTGTAGAATGGATAAGTTGTCCCAACAATAATATAATAGAATAATATTATATGTATCAGAATAACAGAAACGAGGCTGTACCTGAATGGGACAGCAGAGTCAAATACAAAGGAATCAGACCACAGGTTACGCATTACAGCTTAGTAGATCTTTCATGCTTTTTTTAATAAATTAATAAAAAGAAAGCAGATCACTGGAATGCATTATTAAATTTGGCTTGAATTCAAGTGCTCATATTCCTCCCAGAGTACAAAATCCAGATTCCCTGCAAGCAGGCTTCCTCATTTTTCATATTCAATGCAGTCTTCTCTAACTTGGTGTCTGCCTCTATCTCTCTAAACCAGCTCTTGCAAAAGCTTGGTAGAATTTGGTAGATGGGGAAAACTCTCATTCTGTTCCTTTGTAAGCAGTGTCTCAGTAGACTGCATGTTTAGTAAAACCATACATGCTCATATCCAGTTAGGGTGTCTAAATCCATAAACAGAGGAAAAGCAAATCTCACTGTCACATGCAGCAGGCTGGTTTTAGGTAAGGTTGCCAAGACCTTATTGGTTATGACCCACAAAGTTTGGCTTTTGCAGTTCAGGTCCTTTACTTTTTTACCCGCTGATTTATTTAGCACTGTGTTGGCTGTTAAGCTAGTACAAAGACTGTGCATGGTGGTAGTCTTGCTTCAAGGAATGGCTGTGGAAGGGACCCACAAGGATCATCAAGTGGTCAGAACCACTCGAAATCCAAACCCTATGTCTGAAAGCAGTGGTCAAGTGCTCATTGAACTCCAGCAGTTCAGGGTTGTGACCTTGGGAAGCCTGTGCTGTGCCCAACAACCCTATCAGCAAAGAACCTCTTCCTAACACCAACTCAACTGTCTCCTGATGCAGCTCCATGCCATTCCCTCGAGTCCTGTCACTGGAAAGTCACACAGGAGCTTCATGGGCACGCTCAGCAGATAGTGCTCCTTACATCCATGCTGGTAGTTCTTTTTGACTGTCAAAAGCAGGAGAGATTTTTAGCCTAATATCTTCCCTGTCTACTCAGACCTTCTCCATCAGTCTAGAGTTCATGTATTTCAGAAGTGGAGATAAGGAGTGGGTCTTCCCAGCGAGCCTTGTGTACTGAAGTTCTTGCTGGAATTCATCTCTGAATCATCAGAGCAGTAAGCCCAAAGTATCGAGCTCTGCATAAGTGGGAATCTGCAAAGGAAAGGACTTAGGAATTGGCTCCATGAGCTTCTCAGCATCTTCTCCACACCAAGGATACCAGTTTTGAGGAGGCAGAATTTCTGTAATGGGCTCGTTGCCGTTTTAGACCTGAGTCAGGCGATGCACTGACTTTCTGTATACATTTAGGTCCTGGCAAAGTTTCCCTAGAAACAATGAAAATCACTAATCATCCTTGAGCTCACTTGCTGTCTTCTCCAGGAGGTTAATGGTTAGAAATTACATTTGTTCATTTGCGTTCACATACAAAAATAGCTCCTCTTTAATGTGCTGGTGAATCTGGCCTTACTCAGGGCCTTAATTATGGTGAGCTGCAGTAAGGCAAAGGGCACTGCTGCTTGAAAACACAAACTTATCTACTGTCATCCTCCAGCTGTTGGCACAGATTATTGCATGGAAGGGTTCCTATAATGTGTTTTAGTGTTTAGGTGTTTTGTGCATAATTTTTGGAGTTTAGAAAGGAGTTCTAATACTAAACATTTCTGACTGCTCTGATCCTCAACAATGCTTATAAAGGGAAAAAAACAAAACCTCTCTCTCATTTAGGTCGATCTGTGGAAAAGCTTTTTGAATTCTGGTTAGATTTGCTGATAGCTGCTGAATGTTCCCCTTTCTCTTTTCTTCATGTGTCTCCAATAGTATCAATTTCCAGTGTGTGCACAGAGGATAGATGCACCTGATAGCTGTCACCCTTGGTGACAATTCAGATAGGGAAAGGGGGAGGGAAGCAAAGAAACAAAGAGCTTTAATCAATAACAGCAAAAGGAGGGTTGTGACCTAATCCTGGAAAGTGTAGAGCGCTTTGTGCTATCACTGAGCAGCTAAAATGTTTGGCAACTTTGTGTACCTGAAACATCCTCAGTGGGATCAAACCTTTCAAAACTGTTGACATAAGATATCTAGACTTGTCTATTTGCAGAAATGCAAGGATTCCTAAATAGGCTTCAGATTGAGCATCAGTAAGCAAAACTCTGGCAAGATGACTTTGCATCCCTTGTAAAGGGTGGGAGTGGTGAATGCTGTAGGCTTGATTTCCGAGGATTGTTTTTGGCCAAATACTTGTATTTGCAGGTGACAGAATTGTGTATAAATATGGCTGGTTTTGTTTTCCACCACAGATGTGCCAAATGGCAGAAGAATCTTTCCGGAAGACTTTGGCTTTCTAGTTGTTTCTCACACTTCTAAAGCAGCCTGAGATGCAGTGATTGCTTGTAGACCATCAGCTTATGTGAGAATTTCAAAGTAGAATCCTTTGAGCTGGTGTCAGTGTTATAGCTGGGAGCCTTTCTGCTGATTGGGATCTAGGGAGAGCTCAGCCTGAGAGCGGGTCCTGCCAGGATGAATCAGCAGTTATCTTCCTGGAAGTTATCGACAGTCTGTACATCCCGTGTGTTTAGCAGAAATCCCACCAGACTATAAATGACTGCTTCTGAAACATTTGACTTCTTTCCAGCAAGGAGTGGTACAGTCATTCCCTGACAGCTGCGATACCTTCTCCCACACATCCACGAAGATCACACGGTGATGTTTTTTCAGCAATTTTGTTGACTAGATGATATACATACAGAAATATTTCAAGTCACTGAACGTTTTCTTTGCACTGAACGAATTCTCCTAAGAAGACTAGAAGGGAAGGAAAAGGCAGAATATATCACATCATGGCATCTTGACACTAAGCTGCACATTTTGCATGTCATTTCCCAACTGCTTAGTGTACATGAAGCAATATGATCTATTTTATTTTATCTTTAAATAACGTCTGTGTGTCTAGAGCAGTGAAGCTGAAGCTGAAACCCCTGCAGTACCGATTCACTGCCCTTGCTCTGACCTTGTTCTGACAATCAGTTTTATCCAGTTAACTCTAAGGAGGGTAAGTGGATTTGATTTTAAGTTCTGTGCAGAGACTGAAAAGTTTTAGCAGTAGAATGAGCTCCTAACTGTAACCATAACTGACAGGTGCTTTCTTGTTCAACTCCCATCTGGCAAAGCCAGTTATGAACTGTACAAGCTGATACTGTTTTCACTGCTGACTTCCAGAAAGCTGGTTGCTGGGGACCTTCTTCGATATAGTTTTAGAAGTAAAGCCTCTTCTCAGTCCTGAGCCCATTCTCCCCACTGTTATCTCATGAGGAGTAAGGGTAGTGACATATACTGTGAAGAACGAAGGGACTTTGACTTAGAATAAAGCAACAGTTCCAGAATCAGGCATTAAGGGAAGGAAATGCATTAGTTTAATGTGTCAGATAAGGAGTGTGGATGAATCAAGAGGTGGTCTGCACCTTGGGAAAGGAAATACTGTTCTCAGGGAGAAGAGCAGAGCTTCGCATCCATTAGAACTGTGACTGTACAAGAGGTATCAAGATTCTGGAGAGACTTGCAGTAGTTTTGGAGAAAATGGTGCTTCTTGTAACAAGTACTCCAGGCACTATAAGGCACTGAATGGTTGCTAGTACTAAAGCCCTTTAGAAGATGAGCTGCTAACCAGCAGAGGAAAAAGGAGTCCCAGAGATCAGATCAGCACAGGAAGTTAAATCTGAAATCCTTGGAGGATTCTCACTGGCTCTATGTCATATTGCTATACAGTTCTATACAAATTAGCTTCACCCTGAGATGCTGCAGCAGCACAGCATAACTTGATGGAAAGCATTAAAAAATGTAGAAAAAATGTAGCTCAGAAGGTTGCTCCCTATTAATTAAGCATTATATACTCTGCTGAGGGAATCTGAAAAATCTCCAAATATTGTAAAAGCATTTGACAAGTTAACTAGTGACTAGCCAAATGTTAAAACTGCATTTCATTTGTTACATTAAGTGTGGTGATACTGCTTGTGTCTGGTTTTGTTCTGTCATTGTTTGTTTATAGGAGTGAATCTGGTTGACAGTAAAGGAAGCTGTTCCCCATCCAACCTGATTGGAGTAGTTGTGCTTTGGTGTCTGGATATATGTGACCACTTGCAAAACGTTGGGTTGAAAAGATCTTCTGAAAGGCTTATGTTTATTTCTGTAACTTCTACTTTGAAACTGATGGTCATTGCTGTAAATAACAACAGAGAACGTTTGATAAATATTTCTTCATATCTTTAAAAAAATTGACATCTGGGACCTACGGTGAAATAAGTTGCAATAAATGAGGAATGCCTCTCATTTGAGAGGTAGTAGAGAAGTATTGTGAGTACTGGGCAAGGATAGCAACACAGTAAGTGTATGGGGAAGAGGAGACGAATATAGGTGTTTACACTTGCAGCTTGCTATGCCAAACAAACATTCTGTCTCTTGACAGCACCAGTCACGTAACAGTCCCTGGCAGCCAGGTGTCTTAGGCAGTGACTCATACACTGAATACAGTTCTCTGTTGTTTCACTGCAGATGATCTAACTTGAAATGTGCCTGCCCTGAATCTTCTCCGTGGTGAATGCGACTTGTCTGTCAATGTTTGAGACCTCTCCCTTCCTGAGGCTGCTTCATTTAGATTTATCAACCTCTGAGCATCAGCTACACCTCCAAGGGATGGAGGGCTCCTAGCCTAACTTCCCTGGATATGGCCTTCCTCTGAGTTTGTGCTGTGATAGCAGCACTGTGTTTCTGGGCTCTAACAGCAGAAATATACCTAACAGGCAGCCAGTGGTGGTAGGAAACAGGACTGCTGTAATTCCTCAAATAAACAAAGGGAATCCCTCTGCTCTGAGCTACAATTTCCTCTAATTCGGTCCAAGTAGAGTAGTCTGCGTTTATTGATCTGGGCTTTCTTATTGAGAGAATAAACTCAGCAAACTTGGCTTCTTTCTTTCATGCGGGACAAGACTGATTGCAGGCTGAAGTCAGAAGAAAATTCACTTAGAGTATTTGAAGAATTAAGATGAGGGCCTTGACTCTTTTTTTTTTTTTTTAAGCCAAGCAGAACTTCTGAATTTCAGAAAGACCTTCATATGTTTTTTCCTCTGCCAATCTCTATTTTATAAATTCTTATCTTGGGTTCAGTTCAGAAAAAATCAGAATCATTGAAGTGGCGGCTACTTCTTTTACTTTAATTTCCTACATCAGACAGCAGCATTGTGGATGCCTTGGTGTTTGCAGAAATGCAAGGCATGTGATCATTGAAAAGATCAACAGCCCAGTCCTGTCACTTAAGGAAGACTTAAAATTTCAGGTTTTCTCTTTCCCAAACTCTTTTCATAAGTATTAGAACTAACTCTAGATGTTATTGTTATGTACGTGCAGATGTAGAGAGATGGTCATGCTGAGCCATTCTTTCCCAGTTCCTAGTTAAAGGGCTTTTTGGACAAAAGTTGACGAGCTTTGTTTGTACTGTATGTGTACACTGAGAATATAGTGAAGAGAAATAGGGAAATGTATCACATTCCTTCATTTTCAGCAGGGCAAGGATCCTATGTTATATTCAGGCAGGAAGAATTACTGAGGCAATGCCATCACTCCTGTTGCTAACCCATGTCTGTCAATGAGCAGGGCTGAATTGGGGTCATGTGCCTTTGAGATGGAGTAGATTGTTTCTGCTTTATTTTTACTATGCATGCAGATAGACTGAGCAAAGAAAATCTAAGGATAGACTGGAATGTAGAATGTGAACAAGCACAACTCATTGCTACATTAGGCATCACACTGTCTCACTGTATTACACACAGAAGGAAATCAGTGCTGTCTCAGTCCTTCTGTCTTCAAAATGGAAAAAAAGAAAGGAAGATATTGTAGTTGGTTCTGCATTCCCTTAAGAAAAAGACTCAAGGATTATATTTAGTTAACATAGTTCTAAGTGCCCCCAAATTACTAAGAATTCCTTATTGTTACTGCCAAAATCAGGTTCTTCTGGAAAAGTAAAACCTTCCAGAGAAAACAACGTGCTTTGTATTTCCATGTACCACATAGATTTTATATAGAACCGCTCTTCAGATGAACACACAGAATGAACACTCAAAGATCATAAGCAAATAAGTTGGCCTTTCAAGAACTGAGAGAAGATCTTAATACTCTGAGAGAAGCGTGAGATTTCTGGGTGAGAAGATATTCAGAACTGGAACAAACATTTCTGGCTAGGAGCATGAAGGTTTTTTTTTCAAATTGCTCATGTTTTTTAGTGGCAGCTGTTTTGTGCAAGTGAGTGTGGTGGACACCCAGTTTAGATGTTTCCATGATGCTATGCAAGGGCTATCCTCTGCATATGGATGCTATGATGCAAAGCATGCTTTTCTTAACAGCTCAGTGTTTTGTTCTGTTTGGAAATAAAATCCGGAGAGGCTGATGTTTTCGCATGTGTGTGAATTAATGGGTTGCTTTGTGATAGGCAATTTGTTTTAATTGTTTGTTTTTCAGACTATCTAAAACTGAAAAGTTAGCTGTTGGATGGTACTGGAAAGAGCTTCCTCTTTTGGGAGCCTCATCTCAGTTCACTGAGGTGGTGTTTGTCCCAGTTCAGGTAATCCAGGTTTCTTCCCAGTAGTGCTTTTCTCTACATTGGATGTGTTATTGGTGCTTATCTTTTTATCCGCTCCTTATTGCAAGTTTATAGGTATCCTTTATGGCAAGCTTGTAAGCATCCTTGTTGCTTGTTTGATAAGAAAACACTAACAAATATTTTATCATTTGTCTATAGCATCAGAGAAATAGAGAGTAGAGTTTATATTTGTCCCAGAGCTTTAATAATATCTTTCCTTTGCTGCTGATGTGCTCCAAATTTGTCTCACAGAACTGAGTTGGTGTGAGACTGTGTCTCTGTCACAACGTTCCAGAAATGGACACATTTTCTAAGAAGTTGAAACTTCTACCTTCTTTCTGAGGTTTTGTTTTTGTTTTTTTTTCTCTCAAGGTACCTGGAAATAAAGCAGTCTGCAGCTACTTTTGCTCACTGTTTGTCTAGGATGATGGCTTCAGGGTGATGACTTTTGTTACTCATGATTTTCTGTAACTCCTACAAGCATGCTGGGTGCTCGGTGATGCATCTGTTAATAAACACTAGTTTAATAATAGAGGAGCAGTAGGTTGCAATAGCGTGGTGCTGGTAGGAGGAGATACCCAGTAAGGCTCGTATATGGGGAAAGTGGGTTACTGGGGTAAAACAGTTAACTCTGCCTTGCTCTTTTTTGCCTCTTTCCTCACCTTTGGTCTGTGACTACCTTTGAGTATCTTTGCTCTCCCTCAGCTGCTCTGCTTCAACAAACCTTTCGTTGAGTGTTTGCTCCAGCAGTGTGTGCATAATGTCTTCCAGATTTTTCATCAGAGACCACATTCACCTTTTGTCATCAGGAATAAACCCGTCAGTCTCACTTCTAAATTGAAATTTGATTTCTTAAATGTTAATAAATTAAAAAGAAAAAAAGAGAAGAAGAAAAAGGGAAGAAGAAAAAAGCAGTCATGCTGTGACGTGAAGAGAATATAAGCTATGGGCTGGGGAGAATGGGGAAAGTATCTTCTCTTTCTGTCTTTGAAGAGAGAAAATAAATTCCCTATGGAAAGATCAAAGCACATAAAGTTAATGGATTAACGTTTAAAAAAAATACCTGAAGGAAATAATAGGTTTCAACATAAAAGAGGAAAATAGACCAGTGTTTTTTGCTGGAGATACAGTTAGATGGCTAGCTAAATACCTGAGATTATATGTTGTAGCTTTTTGTAGCTAAAGCTCTCTGAGTGGGAGTAGAGATTTCTTTCCTCATGCTTCGCCCAGACTCCACATACATGGTGTCAACATAGCCTGTGGGTTGTAATCCTCCTCTGCAGCAGCATTCTGTGCTGCTGGACTACAGACTAATGCATCCCGTAATGCAGCCAGACCCTCTTAGGCTAACTGTGTGTAGTAACTCTTAAAGTCACTTCAGCAGCCTGATAAGGTCCTGCTAGAGTACAAAATACCTAGAGTTTATGAAAGGGGGAAAGAGAGAAACCCTCCTCATGAATCAGGAAATGTTCATGTGTGATGAGCACTGGAAAAACTTCTTGTGATGTAATGAGCAGGCAAGAGACCTTGACCTGAGTGATATTCAGAGTTCCTGATAACAGGATACAAAGAAATACAGAGGCAGTAATTGAAAATGGCTAATTTAAGCAGTCTGTAAAGAATTGTCAGGGTATTGAGGCTTTTGCCAATTCTGAGTATGAGGCCCTCATGATTCTCTCACCTTTTCAAGGAGAATGGCACTGCTATAGTCTTTTTGTATCATGAGATTAATGAGATTATGCACTTTATGCCTGGCATCTGGTTATATCTTTTGCTTTTAGCATCTGAAATAGATATTTAGGGTTGTGGAGCTTAACCAAACTCTTCTGCAATTGATGATTGTCAGTTAGATTCTGGGCCTTATAGAGATTTGTGTATATAAAGGCTAGTAGACTGGCACCTTGTAGTTAGCAAGTTTCCTTAATTCCTTCAAAAGTAATAAAATAGGATGTTGAATAAAGGCTTCATTTATTTATTTAACCACCAGTCTTAGTATAGCAGCCAAGTATCTAAACTTGGCATCTGAAACAACAGTTTTCAGCTTGTATTTTATCACTTACTTCTACAAAGCAGTAACCAGAGTGGAGCCCTGCCAGCACATGCTATTCTTGCCAGGCTGAGGTGACTGACCTGCTCTGTGAAGTGAGAGGGAGTGCTACTCCCAAAGACTATTCACAGGTACAAAAGTGCACTGTCCCCCTTTCTTCCACATCTTTCTGATTCACAAAGTTTGTATTGCTTTTATTTCCAGTGTTGACAGTTTTATCACCAATCATTTTCATTTCTGTGCTGATGCATGGAAGATGACCACATACCAAACACTGCTACAGCACAGTGCTACTGTGGGATGATGCTGGCATCACATGTAATTAGCCATTTTAATCTCTTCTTTTAATAGCTGGGAAGAAAACACATAGAATCTCTGAACAAAACAGCCTCAATTTTCATTTGAAAAAGGAAATAAAGAATGATTCATTCTAAAACTGTACGCTCCAAAGGAGGAAGACTTGAATTATTAACAACTTATCTAAACGTGATGGGTGCTGACACCTTCATCTTTTATTTTTACTGCCATGCATTTCTTCACAAGGGGTGAGAGAATTTACACTACAGGAAGTGTTAATGGTTTCACGCTTTCTACCCATTTTTAACTGTCTAATTTATGGAAAGCCATTACAAGGTGAGTCATTGCTTTCACAGGATTAGTGTGGCTGAGACAGAGTTTTAGGCGTTCCTTCGTTTTTCATATTTGCTTGAAAGGAACAACAGACCCACAATAAAACAGAGTTCAGAGGCACTGCTCTTCTTGATCATATACAAATATTGCAAGAGATGCTCCTTGTCCCTGTAAGCTAACAGCTGAAAAAAAAAAACAGTGATAGAGATTCATCTGCATTACAGACACTGTAAGTTGAGGTGTCTCATTATCCAGAATTTGTGCTTAATTGGATGGGAGTTAAATAGTTACAAGGATAGTTACAAGGATAATTACAAATAGAAGCAATAATGGGAATCCCACTATAAACAACTCTTCTCCTGCAATAGCTGTTGCAGGAGTGCATTTACTCTCTTCTTGATCTCAAGAGATTTGGTTGGATGTTCACAAATTACAAAAAAAAATAATCACTCAAGCAAAAGTATCAGGGCTTGCCCTGATAGTGAATAGAAAGAGTAAGTTTTCCATGGGTTGAAATACATTTGGGTTGTCTGTACCACCAATGTAGCAAAATAAATTCAGCGTGTGGAATACTCAGGCACTGAATAAGGTGTAGATCTCATAGCCAATGCTCTTTGTAAGGTCTGTTCAGTCTCCAAGAGATAGTAACAGATTAATTTTAAAGAAAATCTGGAAATGAATGTGTTTTTGAACTACTGCCCTATAAACCTCTTAATTTACTGCAGAAGGCATGTGTTACCTATGAGGATTCATTCACCCAATTAGAAACTCTTAAACATCCATGTCTTTTTTTCTGCTACAGGTTTTCTCTTTTTTTTTTTTTTTTTTTTTTTTTGGTACAAATCTATCTTTGGAGGTTGTTTGTTTCAGTTGTGTGCAGATTAGAAGCCTGTATTTCACTCCATAGCACATACCAGGTAGTCAGACTATCCATCCATAGCTTCAGAGTTGTCCTTGCTGGGAAGTCTGTTGTGCAGTTGGTCAGTGTAAACCTCTTGCTGGATTAACTTAAAACTACTGTCCTAAAGAAATGAAATTTTTATTTTGAGGTGCTATCTGTAAACAATAATGAAGTACCACTAGTTCTCCCTCTTTGTTTTCCACTGGAGAGTTTGTGGGGAATAAAATTAGAGAAATGATGTTACAAGCCATTTTTTGTTTAGAATTCTTTTTCTCTCCACAGTTGTATGTTCTGTCAGCATCTTTTTTCTCACATCAATTATCCTGACCTAAGAAAAAACAAACCTCTTAGTAATGGTGCTTGAGGATTGGTATGTTTGCTGTATAAATTCTGAAGCAGATACTGAGTTGCTCTAAACTGAACGAACAGTGAAGCCACAAGCATTTTTTTCAGCTGCAGATTGTAATTTTATATATAAACTATCATTTGTTTTTCCTAGGATTATTAAAATACTTGGAAAAAATTAAGAACATAACTGGAATATAAAACAGTATGCATAAAGTGGGCAAATGGTAAATTACTGGTGTTTGTTAAATGCTAAGTTGCAGATGATGTTAACTGCTGTACGTGTGAGTCTTCGTTTGCTGCCATTCTCTTTTGAAAGGGATGTTATAAAACAAATCCTGAATGCCCCTTAAAATGTATCATCTAATTGATCATATGAGAATGGTTAGTCAGTAGAGTAGGCATGTAGAAAGTCATTCATATTCAATCATCCATTTTATTTCAGCTTGAAGTTAAACATTCTTCAGCTGCTATTATACAGAAAGAGTTTGTTCTGCAGACAGAAGCCCATTGGAACTGCTGTTTGTAAGAAAATTCAAAGTACTCTGATTATTGAGCTTTGAACAGTTTCACCACAATCCTGCAGGAGGGTTTTTCTTAATGTGTTTGGACTAATTATTGTTATTCACCGGACGTACATATAGATTTTCAGGCAAAAATATTTGGAATTTTATTCTAAAGTTAAATCAACACAGACATTTGAGTTCGATGCTTTTAGTTGTACTTTCAAAATGCTCCATGTTTTTCATGTTCTCATTTCATTCAGGACAGTTGAGACAATGCAGAAGAAAAGAACAGAAGCAGCTATGTCCTTTGAGAGCTGAATGATTGCCTGCTCCTTTGTTGTATCACTTTTACTGAAAATGAAGCCTCTTCGTCTACCAGAGAACTATGATGTGTTAGAATAGCAATAGCAAAACTAGAGGCTGAAAAAGAAGTGTATGGATGCAAGTCTTTTAAATGGAGTCTGTGCTCTCAAGGAAGTTCAACTTATGTGACTGCATCTTCACTGTTCTGCTAAATGTGGAGGAGTGTTGAAGACCTCATAGACTCGAATTCCTAAATGTTGCTGCAATATCAGTAGCTAGGTAGACATGAGACCCAGATTACCATTTCCAGCAGAGGGAAAGTCTCCCAGGGAAGCTCAGGAGATCTTTCTTACTGTCTCCAGCCATATGTGGGGATAGTCCAGGCTTCACCACTAGCAAATGTTCTGTATGCTGTCTGATGTTCACTAGATGTGGAAGGGTGGGGAAGGGCAGTGGATGTGGCTGGAACTGGCAACACTGCTGGTCTTGCAAAATGGTAAGGGAGGTAAGCTGATGGTACTTGTTTGACTGGGGAGTAATGTAGCAATTTGGGTGTGAATCCAAGCTTTATTGGTTTGAGTCCTCATGGAACAGTTCATAATATAGTCTGCAAATGTTTTTGTTGTTGTTGTGTTTTTTTGTTTTTTTGTTTTTTTTTTTTTTAATTAATGAAATTGTAAGCTAGGACATAAATGGAATAATTTGAATATTGCTGATGTTTTAGACAAGTGGAAGGAATAAGATTCAGTTTGGTACCAATAAAAAAACCTCCCTGGGGACACTTGCCACAAAATGGCAGGAAAACACAAAATAGAGAGTTATGACAATGTGTCATGAAAGTTTGTTCTACAAATAGGCCAGTGGATGGAGTATTTGTCCTGCTTTGATGCTTTTTTTTTTTTTTTTCCAAGCAAGCTAACCTAGAAAGGATAAAAATAAAGCAAGCCATTACTAACAGACTTTTTTTTTTTATTATTGGCACCTGTTACTGAATCTTGTGCTTCATTCTGTGGTAAAACAGAAATGTCTAAATGAATCCAATTCATATCTTCAAGGTAATAACTGACAAGTTAATAAAAGTAACAATTAGAAGATGCGGGTCTGCATCTGCTTTCTTTTGTTCAACTCAGTGCATTCGTTCATACAAGGTAGTCAGAATAGTTTAATGTCTTCTTCATATGTTCCTTTTTTTTTCCCTTAACGAATTAAGTGAAAGCATTCTTTATTCTTGAACATCGACAGTTGCACCAGAAGACATCTAAAACGGTAAGGAGGAGTTATACCCTACTATTAGAAGCCCTTTGGACATGGCCTGATACAATGTGGAGTTGTGACAGTAATATTTTACTGTAATTACTTTCTTAAAATGACAGAGCACTGCAATTGCTATCATTTTTTTCAGTGTGAGTTAAACTCGGTGTGTGTGATTCAGGCATATTCATTTGACAGAATGCTCTGAATTTGCATGATTAGACAGCCTTTCATATTATGCAGCTCATCAGGGCATTTTTCCCAAGTAAAAGCCAAGCCTGTGCCAAATTAGCCGCTTTTTATTTTCAAAGGTAGGTGGAGAATAATCTTACTGTGTTCAATAAAAGTCTCTGACCTGTGTGCACATACATTCAGGTGGGTAGGTAAGTAGTATTTCTAGTTAGTTCTAGACATAAAATGGCATGTTGGAAGATTGAAGGCTGAGCTAAAGTTCTTAAAAACAAACAAAAAAAAAACCAAAATGAAAGTACAAAATGATACAACAAACTTGTGAAATGAAGGCATTCTCAGAGTATCTACCAATAACTAAGCATCCCAGAGTATAACAATTTAAAAATGGAGAGAACAGCTCTGAATTGCAGTTGTCTAATATGTGCAGGCACTAAAATTTTTCATACTCACAAGTGTTTTTATTCTATATAGTCAGTGTTTATTCTATAGTTGATTCAGTCTATTCTATGGATGTGCTTTGGTTGGCCCTCACTTATGGGCCTAAATCTAAGTATTACAAAACGTACTTGTAAAGATGGATGGCAGTCTGTTGCTATCAGCTTTGCTTGAGTTAGAAAAAACAAACCATCAAAACATCTGATGCAGATCTCTTTTAGGAAAAGCAAACAAATAAACAACAACAAAAACAACAGACAAGATTGAGACAGACAAACCTGTTTCAAATTCAGAGGTCAGTCCTGCCTGGAGATAAGGTAATGGCAAAGATGACCTCCTGAGGCCTTTTTCAGATGGATCTATCTTCCATTATTCTGTTAAAAAAAAAAAAAAAAAAATAGTAAAACATCAGTCAAAAGGATGTCTCTTGCCACAATATTCCCAATTCTGTCAAAATCTGTTGCTCACACTGGTAATTAACTAACCTTCTGTGGCTTTGTACCACTTCCCTTTTTCTTAGTAGAAAAATTTTTGCTGTCAGTCCAAAGCCCATCACTTTCATATTGTGACATAAAATCTAATTTAATTATTGGCTAGTTAACTAAGGGAATACCTTATCTATATGGAATGCCTAATGCCACGTCTGCTGTGCATCTAACGTATACCACTCTTTTTAGCTTACCTCTTCTATCTGTGATAATTATAAACCATGACTATAATTACATCCTTTTAAAGTACTTATAGTTTATTAAGTTTTGCTACATTCAGTGGCCTTGTTGGTTATCTGGCAGTACAACATATTTGGGGCTGTGCAATGTCAGGTCACTAATCTCCCTCTTGCACTCCGGCCTGTCAGCCACATGAGAGTGACTCACTTTCTGCAAACCTCCTGTTACTTAGTAGCTGTAATGTGAAAATGTTGCGAAAGTAGTTAGGAGGTAAGAAGAGGAAGAGGGCTGGGAGGCAGGGTGATCCTGGCTGCTTAAAAGCACATCATTTCATCTAATTAGGGGAAGAATTTTCCCTGTTTCCTCCCTGACACAAGATACATGAATTTACATGCTCTGCTCCACTCTGTTCTCTGCAGTATCCAGTAGTGTTAGTTATGCTTGCGGCCATTTACTGCAAGCACTTATTTATTTACTTCTGTGTTCCTCTTTTTGTTAGTAGTATCTCTTTGTTACCTAGGGAACCGCCATGTACTTTCTTTCCTCTTTGGAACTCCATGATGCCATCCATGCTCGAGGTTCCAGGTAGTGCAGTGCCTAAGGTACTGTATGTCTGAAACCTGTTGTGCCAGGCCTGCGTTACAGTACTGGCACAGCACGATGACTCACACAGAAAACATGCAGGACCAAAGAATAATAAAATAATAATAAAAGCTCTACCAGTGCATTTAATTTTGCTGCGGATAGGCTGAATTTGAGGTAGCCAGGTGGATTTAATTCCCAGTATTTAGTTGGGATAGTTGTTGTATAGCTTTTTCAACAAAAAGGAACTCCAGAAATAATACTTGCCAAACTTTTGTATCTGTATCCCAATCAGAATTGTAGAAGGGTAATACTTTGCCTTCCAGTGAATGGAAAGACGGAGAGAGCTTAAAGAGTGGCTTTGCGAGCAAGAAATGATAATAGTTAATTTCTGTGTGAAGCCCTGAGAATGCTATGCAGTAATTTACAGGTCACTAGAAAGTCCTAAAGAATCCTAGGCTTTAGCTTGGACTTTTCAAAAGACAGGCATAGGAAGCATTCTCCATCCCAAAAAATTATTCCTTAAAAGCAGGGAAAGCACGTCAGTCTTACTACTCCTTGCTCCTCTGTATCAGAGCTAATTTATACCTGACTGCAACCAGCACAAATTGCAGCAGTTTCTACTGCGCTGGTATGTGAGTCAGTGAGTAGGGGGGTGACTGAGTCAAACTCAGCCTAGATCCTCTCCTCCCACTCCCTACCCAGCTGCTGCCTGTTTACTCCTTTGGGTTTAGCCCATGATCCTGGCAGCCTACACAGAAAGTTAGAAATAGTGGATGTTCTCTCTCCTCTGCCTGAGAACAGAGGGGTAGTCTGAACGTAGCGCGCCGTGTCAGCGTGAACTTCATCAGTTCTGTTCAGAGATGGGACTTGGATATTTGCTTAAGGATCTAGAGGCTGAAAATAGAGTTTTTTGAATCTGGATTTTCTGGCAGATCAAGATGTTTAGCGTTATTGTCTTGTGCAAATGTACACTGGGCTTGGACTCCTGAATTTTTGAAATGTTTGTTAGATATTTACATGTTGCCTCTATAGCTTCCAAGGCAAACTATGTTTCCATCTAATATGGAGGGTAAAACAACAGCAATGATCCTGACTGCATTTTCAGAGCCTTTATCACTTCATTCTTGAAGTGAACAAGTTTAATTGCCCAGGCACTGAGCAAAGCTTTGTTTTGTCATGTTTCCTCCTTCCCATAGCCTAGTATGCTTTGGGGATTTTCATTAATCCAGCCTTGTTTCAGTTAACCAGGATTTGATTTCTCTGGTGAAACTTTTCTTTGTTTTGGGATTTTGTTTGTTTTAACGTTGTTGTTGTTTGTTTTTTAATACCCGGGGCAAAACTGAAGGCTCTCAAAGGGATTGGATTAAGAAGCAAACACAAGGGGCTGATGGAGGATAAGGATTGTTAACTAGAATCTGGTACTTTTTGTAAGAGCAGTTTGTTTATGTATACCTTTAAATGATTTGAAATTCAGCTGAGTGCTGGATTGTTGAAGTATTTTTCTTCAACCAATTCGGACAATTCTTCAACCAATTTTTCAACCAATTCTTCAACCATTTTGTGACAAAAGCAGATCGAAGAGCTGATTTTTGCACCAGTTAGTTGTGCAAAAAGAAAGTTTTTCAGCAGATGAAGAGGAATTTTTGTAAGCACCCGAGGCCTGGTAATTCTGAAATCTTGTGAATAATGGTATGGTCAGTCCTATCCAGAAAATGAAGAGAATACTTCTTTTTTAAAACTTGTCTTTTAGTGCAGTACAGTCTTTTGATACATTGTACTGAATGTATTTTTAGTTACTAACTATAATTAGTATTTCATATGATGAGTTTTCTGCAGTTTTTACTGATCTGTTAATTTCAATCCAGAGTAGTTTGATGCAAATTAAGAATTTAAATGACGTAAATGACGTATGTATTTTTACACTATAATGTTAATGTCACTGTAAAGATTAAATTAAAAAATATGTAAGATAATTTTTATACCTGAATTTGCTTTAATTCCATAATCAAAACTTTTTTAGGATAAAGATTGTAGGTAGTTTCAAATAGTCAAATTAATCTCTTTCTGAGAAAAAACCTAAACAGTATGGAACTACAGTTGGTAACGTTTTGTTCAATACAGGGAAGTTACCCCAAAAGGAGATTGTTTTCTTTAGAGTTGTTTAATTACTTCAGTGCTCTGTATTTAAGCATGTATATTTGTAGTCCTTGTAGCTGTGAAATGTTGGAATAACTCATCACCTAACACAAGCATATATTAGACAGTTGGCTTTAGGGTGTTATCCTCAATTTTAATTTGTGAACCTAAAATGTGTATGCCAACACCCTGCCTCATCCTTCAGGCAAATCTGTCTGACTGTCTGCAAAGCTTGGTCAGTGGTTAACACGTGAATCAATATCCCTGCATTGTGCTGAGCTCATCTAAGCCACAGCCTTTGCAAAAGATGACAGCAAGGGGAAAGGATCTAAAAAATCTGGAATGTTGATATCTCAGAAAAGGAATCTGCATTGTGCTACTTTTCTGAGTAACAGAGACCTCACACGAATCACCACAACTGGGTGTTGTGAAGACTGCAATTTATAAAAATTATGGCAATAATGCAACTCTTTCTGGCAAATTTTTTGTCACAGAAATCATTTGGCTGTACTAATTGGCTTAAGAATTTGGGTGCTTTGGGCCTTGTATTTGGCGTGAATATAAGATACTGGAGAAAATAAATCAGTTATTACTAGCGTAACAAGCGATGATCAAATTAAAGATGATGTCTTAAGGTTCCTCTGTTTTTCCTCCATGTACGTATTTAGCACAGCATATGGTCAACACAGTCATAATAAACTGATGAGAGTATTTAATTAAATGTGTTCCCAGGACTTTAAATGCAGGGTATTATCTTTGGCTGATGAGCAGCGTAAATATTTAGTAATAAGGGAGAGCCCTTGTAGGATATTGCCAGTAATACATGAAAATCACATTTGGGAACAGAGATGTGTTCAAAGCAGAACTTTCTTCACAAAATTAACACATCTCAAAATGCTAATTCCTTTTATATGTGATTTTTTTTCTTACCACCAATTCACTATTACTCATTACTGCGCAATTATTACAAATAGCATGAGAAATCATTTTAAAATTGATAGTTCTAGAATGCAGTGAGCCTAAGTTAGACTGCAGCCATTTAATTGGCTATGATCATGTTTTTACTGAATAAGGAAGGTCTCAGGTAAGAGCAACATCTTCGTTAAAACAGTGACTGTTCCCTGGCAGTAAGGGAAGCCTATTTGGTCTTGTTAAGAGTTGATTCTATTCCCCCTGAAATTTCAGAGAGCTGGAAACACCCTTCTGTAACATTTCCATCCCCAGGTATGCAAATGTCTATTAACACAGTAGAGACACCTCTCTGTCAACAGACTAATTAGCTTTTCACTCTATCAGTTCTATGGTATCATGACCTTCTTTCCTTCCATGGAGCAGCTTTGTTTCCCTGTGAAAGTGAGATTAGCAGAATGAGAGCAAGGATAAAATTAACCTGGAGGTGGGGAACAGTGACCGAAGAGAAGATCAGCTAGAAATCTGAAGGAAATACAGTTATTGGGCAACAGGTCTGAAACTGAAGTCCCTTATCGAGTGTGTGCATCTCCGAACTAAGTAGGTCTCTAATCAGTGTTATCTAACCAGGGTTTCCTTTTGAATAGACCTGTCACCTCACAGGCATGACAATTTACTTGTAAGAGGCTGAGAACCTAATTCTGAAGGACACTTATTTGATATTTTTGTTACCGTTGGAAGTAAACTGGCCTTTTTTCTCTGAACTTCTCCTGGCATAATTAGTGCATGCTTCTGAAAGAGTTACAGAACCTGGCACTCTTATTTCGCTAAAGGAAAAGTAAAAATCTTGGCAGGAGGTGTTGCAGTATAGCTTACATATCCAGCTTTCTGGCTACACACAAGAACACGTACTTTCCCAGACAGAAACACAGCAGCCCATCCATGTCTGCGCCAGCCATGTATTACTGTTAAGTTTGTACAGGTAAACGTAAGCTATGAAAGGCCCATAACTTCAAGGAGTTAAAGATGGCATGAAAATAGGTTGGCACAGAATTTTAGTTTGGTTAGATTGGGTT